TCTCTTCTCTTCTGTCCTCTCCTATAATTCCCCTCTCTTTCCAATAATAACATCCTAGTGTCTGAGGTACGAGTGTGGGATTTGTGCTTTAGCGGCTGTTGTTACTGTATAACATAAAGAAAAAAAAGAAAGACTTGTGCTGTGTTTTGTCCGTCTAGTTTGCCACATTTTGCTTTTAGGCAGGGATCCGTTTCGATTCCTTGTGATTAATATTTTTTAAATTTACAGTACTAGTGCATATCTAGTATTTACCTTAATGTTTAGTGATGTGTTTATGCGAATGTTTATTGTGTTACGTACATGTTGATTGCCGAGTCGGTCTTTACTTTTAGGTTATAAGGGTGTTTAGGGCCTTTAGATCAGTTTCCTTTTTTTCCAGGGGTATGACTATATTAACATCTTACTATGTAGTTAACTTTGTGAACATCATCGATTTAAATTTTTAATTTAGTTGTTATTCATTAGGATCTTTTGTTTGACATTTTTATAGCTGACATTGCCATTTGTTTTCTTAATTGGTAATTCTTTCTCCACTTCTTTTTTACTTCGTTTTCCTAATAAATAATGATATAATGTTTTCATCTTTTACAATTTTTTTTTAATATTAAGTAATAAAAATAGTTATCTCATTCATATTTGTTGTCAAATAAAGAAATATTTATAATAATTTAACATTTCAAGAAATTTTAAACTTTTAATTTTTAACTTTTAAAATTTTAATTGTGAGGAAGTAAAAATATGAGAATTGGAATCTTCTTATTATACTTTCATAAATATTCAAAGAAAAATCATGAAAATTTTGATTCGTTTAAAATATATAAGTTTAGTATCGGCATTAATATTATTATTATTATTATTACAATATTAAGTATAAAGTTTATTTTATATTTGCAGTTTATAATTTGTTTGTGTAAATACAACGTAGTATTTTTGAAAATTTTACTTGTTATAGCAGTATGCCAAAAGTAAACAAAATTACAAACTTGATGAAAATGGTATTAACGACGATGGCCATCAAAGTTTGCTACAATTTCAAAAACCACCTACAACTCATGAAACTTGGCCAGTAACGTCAAATCTATGGGGTTTAAGTCAATCTGCAGGGTTATCTGCTCAGCAGATTGGATCAGAAACACGAAACGTAAGTTAGATATGTGATATCAATAATAGTTTATACTCTTATGCTATGCTTCTTCATTTCAATAATGAAAATTTTAAATTCTTGTAACTTATTGTTTTTTGTTAATGTTACAGGATTTAGCTAGTGTAATGAGTTTTTCATCTGGTACTGGAATGAATCCATCATCGGGTATGCAAGGACAACGACGATTAGGAGCTAAAATGGATGTAGTTTATAGCCTTTTAAGTATGTTAGGGAGTACCAAAGGTCGGGAAGATATGAGTGTTACACTGCTTTCAATGAGTAATTCAGTAGAAAGTTGCCTTGTAATGAGGCAGTCAGGTTGCTTGCCACTACTTATTCAATTAATTCATGCGCCAGGACAGGATCCTGAGACTCGAGAACGTGCTTCTCGAGCTTTAAATAATATTGTACATGCAAGAAACGATGAAAAATCTAGTAGACGTGAAGTTCGAGTGCTTCGACTGCTAGAGCAAATACGAGATTATTGTCAGACAATTAGGATTTCTTTGGAAAACAGTCAAACTTTAAATGATTTGGAAAGGCATCCAAGTGCAACCATTGCAGCATTGATGAAGCTGTCATTTGATGAAAGTCATCGATATGCCATGTGTCAACTTGGTGGCTTACATGCTGTTGCTGAACTCATCGAGATGGATCATACTGCACATGGAGGCAAATCTGAAGATCAAAATTGTATTACTTTAAGGCGATATGCTGGCATGGCTTTAACAAATCTAACATTTGGAGATGGAAATAATAAAGCTCTTTTATGTTCCTTTCATGAATTTATGAAATCATTGGTAATTAATTGTTTTATCGTTGCTAACTGTTCTAACAAAGATAGTTTGAAACGCGATTAACTTTTGTATAATAAATTTAATATTTTTTTCCAGGTTTTGCAACTAGAAAGTTCAAGTGATGACTTAAGGCAAGTGACGGCAAGTGTTCTTCGTAATCTGTCTTGGAGAGCAGACAGCAATAGTAAACAAACATTGCGTGAAGTCGGTGCTGTTATTGGCTTAATGAAAGCTGCGATGGAAGGACGTAAAGAATCGACTCTCAAATCCATTCTTTCTGCTCTGTGGAATCTATCAGCTCACTGCAGTACAAATAAAATGGATATTTGCGCCGTTGAAGGTGCTTTAGCATTTTTGGTTGACATGCTGAGTTACAACGCTCCGTCAAAAACATTGACGATCGTTGAAAACGCTGGTGGAATATTAAGAAACGTTTCCAGTCATATTGCTGTTAGAGATGATTATCGATCCGTAGTACGAGAACGCGGTTGCCTTCAGGTAAAACAATTTAATAATCAATGATTTATTTATTACTTTTTTAAAATATTAATCTGTAATATTAAAATTACAAAGAACTTTCGCTATTACACTATTTATTGCGATTAATGAACAATGATTTTTAACATTTATTGTGGTTGAAATAATATTTGTTCTCATTGTTGTTATTTTTCATAAATATTTATTTCTTTTTGTAGAAAATTTGTAATAAATTATTTTTCTTTATTCTTACTAAGGTACTACTTAGACAATTAAGATCGCCAAGTTTAACAGTAGTGAGCAATGCCTGTGGTGCACTTTGGAATCTTTCTGCTCGATGTCCGGATGATCAACGACTTCTTTGGGATCTTGGAGCCGTTCCTATGTTACGAAGTCTTGTTCATTCTAAACACAAAATGATATCAATGGGTTCTAGCGCGGCATTAAAGAATCTTCTGAGTGCTCGACCTAATGGAAATAGTTTAGTTCATATGGATTCAACTGCAAGGGGACTAGGTCTTCCTACTTTACCCAGTTTAATGGCTCGGAGGTAATATCATTCTATATTTCAACTTTACTACATCTTTTAGTTCTAATTATGAAAATAATATTTCAATTGCTGAATGTAAAATTCAAAAAAATTTAATCAATCAAATTGTTAATATATTTTAAAATTTAATTTATTAAATGTATAATAGATACCAAAAAAATTTTCACTTTATTATCTAAAAAATATTAATTTTATTTACTATATTATAATTGTTAAGTTATAAAAATATTGAAATTAATTATATATTATATCGTTAAATTTTATTATTATAGACAAAAGGCTCTTGAACAAGAAATTGATCAAACTTTGGCAGAAACTTGTGACAACATTGAACCAAGTACTTCACCTATAAATAAAGAAGATAAATTTTCTTTTAAAATTGATCAAAATTTCCTTGAAACGTCTAGCAGAACAGTTCATACTCCCGTTGTGAATCAAGCTGGATCCTCTGGACTGAAATTCACTGGTTTTACACGCAGTGAAAGTAGAGAATCTATGCGCTCAGTTACTAGTACACATTCTGACACAGTTTTTGAAAAGGCTAATCGTCAAGCACGAAATGGAATGACACTATCACAGTTACAAATCCAACAGCAATCAGCATCTGTACATTCAGCAGTTAATTTTGACAGTACTGTTACTACAAATGGACATTCAAAAGGTATTATTATTATTATTATTATTATTATTATTATTATTATTATTATTATTAAAAACTGCAGTATTTTTCATTTGCGTAAAAACTGGAAATTTTTAAATTGTCTAAATTATTTTTGTATAAGAATTAAATAATTATTGTTATGATATGATGTTTCAGGTCTAACAGAAAAGAAGTATACTTTACGTTACATGAATGCAATTCCAGAGCGTTTAAAACCTGGAGAACCATTACCAGATTTGCGTGGTTTAAGGTACGATACTACAACAGTGTCATGGGCTACGACATCCAATCAAGATACTAATTCTTCGAAAGGACTGTCGCATCCAACCATCGAAGACAATTTATTATCAAATTCCTATGATTCTACACATTCAAAAATCATAAAACCGGAGACAAATATTTGTAATATAACTGGAGAAAAACTTAAGAACGTATTGCCATTTAATGGCGTAACAAATTATAATCTTCCAGTAAAGAATATCGAAAAGGTTATATCTCCTATAACCGATCCCTATAATGATTATATCGAGACAAATTTAGACCAACCTACAGATTACAGTATCAAATATGCAGAACATACTTCGGATGATGATAAACAAAGTTCAGCATATTTCACAGGTACTGAACAAGATACTGTCAAAACCTATTGTACCGAAGGAACACCATATCAGGGTTCGTTAAATTCCTCCAGGGCTTCTTCTGCTTCGGATCTGCATGAAGAAAGTAGATTGCGAGCTCATTTTAGAAAAATTTCTGAATTTGGTCAGAAAGGTTCATATAATAGCTCTAAACAGCTTACTATTAATGCAATTGCAGAACAACATTTTAAATCACAAAATTATATTAGAGATAATTCGAGAGCGGACTCACTTCGATCAACAAATTCGGGTAGAAATTCATTTATTACATTCAATGCCAAATAATATTACAATTACATATTATTATTAAACGTTTTTCTTCTTTTTAATAGAGAGTACTTTAACTTTAGAAACTGGTAGATCACTGGAAAGTGATAGTGCTATTTTTGAAGATCAGAAATTAGATGAGAGCTCTGGACTGCCTAGTCTTACTTCATTAATTGGAGACGAACCTAAAATAGTAGCCAACAGTGAGAAAGCAAAAATCAATAATATAAGATATAATATGGAAGGGCAAAATTTTCCTACATCATTGGAAACTAATAGTTTTGAAAATGAACATAATTATTTGCATAATCAGAGGTAAATACACATTAAACATTATTCTTAAAAGAAATGCTCAAAATAATCATATTAATTGGTACTATTTATAAGTAATTTATTATTAAGTAAATTTTGGAAATGTGATAAGATACTTTTTTTTTAATTCAGTTTACACTTTGGGCACACATTCAGACGAAATAGTTACGATGAAGATTTACATTCTGAAAATAATCTTGTAAGGTATAAAACAAATACAAGCCTGAATGACATTGAAACTCAAGATGTTAATGACATGTTAGCCGGAAATCAAGTATATTTATATAAATTATCAATTCTTTTATATAAAATTGTTCATACGTGTGTTTTATAAAAGAAATTTTAATTTGTTTTATAGCCTACTCCTTTAACGTCATTAGAGTCGATGGATCAACAATTACTGGAAGATGATAGAGATATTAGTGAAATAACTTACACTAATGATTATTATACTATCCAAGAAACGTATGTTCTTGATAAAAGTTCTCAAATAATAGACCAAAATTCGTTGGCAAACGATGACTGTAGCTCATCTCAACAATGCTCTTCAACTCTTAGTTATATGTCGGTTAATAGTAAAGTCGAGAGAGATGAAATTGATTTAGGAGGAAATCAAATTGAACACACTGTTACTTCATCGAATTCCGAGAAAAAGGAGTCTTTTGATTCAGTTGAAAAGTCAGAGCAAGTACTTTTAGAATTATGTATTAAATCAGGAATAGCAAATCCTGAAACGCTCTTATTAATTGGACCAGATGCTGCGTCGAAATATCAGATTGATAATGACACGATCGATACATCTAAACAAATTATCACCACAAATAATAGTGATAAATCTATTTCACAAATGGTAAGAATGTTTTAACAGTGAAACAGTGTTTTAACTATTTTAATAGTGAAAACCAATAAATAGCTTATGCCATTATTAATAATATAAAAAGATTTTTTTTATACGTATATATATTTATTTATACTAATAATATATCGATAAATTATGTTTTTAAATTAGGGAGAAATTACGGGTAAAAAGGAAGATGAATATCGAAGGCAGCGGGATCCAGATGCAATGATAGCTTCGCTCGATCGACTTACTGCTACATTGGTTCAGCAAAGTGAAGCAATGCGTGAACGAGATTCATGCACGATGAAGGGAAGTTTGCTTAGTGATACATGGAATGAGGACTCACCAAACGAACTCTCCTTTCCTAGTATTAGTACCAGTATTCCGCTAGTTTCCTCTTTTAAAAGTGACATTCAAGATGATCATATCGTGGGTAGCGAACTCACGGAAGAGGATTGTAGTATTACAACTACCATGACGGAATCCAAGATCATCGAGAGAGAGGCTATAAAACTTGCAGAAGCTGTTAGCGCTGAAGCAAATCAAATTAGTTTAGCCTCCATAGATCTCGATGCAATTAATCCTCCATCTACGATGGGAAGTCTTATTTCTCTTACTGCGAGTATTAGTGGAATAACGGATAGCATTGATAATTCAGCAGGTATGATAAATATTCTTTATGAAATAATTAATATTTTTAAAAATATAAAAATAAGTAATTATATTTATAGAAAAAGGTCATCAGTCCACTTCTCTTCCACCAATGCAATTTACATCAAGTAAGAAAAAATCTTTACCTATTGGAGTTGTTGCTCGACGTGCCTTGAATCATGGTCAGAATCGCACAGGTAGCCTGGAAAATCTTTTAAGTGAATTTAATGGTTGTAATAATTCTCAAATAGAGAATGTTAAGCCCCCATCAATAATGGATGAATTATTGGATGTAGGCGATATGGAAAACAGTATGTTAAGCGTAGCAAGTATCACTTCTGAAATTGCAGATTGCAAAGATAGTGATTCTAATGGCTTAGCTAGTAGTGATCCAGTATTTGATCTTATAAAGCCACTCACTAACGTTTTATCCACTACCTGTATGAGGTAGATATTAAGAGTTATTTGTAATTTTATAATGATTTTAAAAAGATAAAATATTTGTGGATTTTATTTTAAAATAGATATGCCGATACAATGCATGGGAGTGCCACTAATAGCCTAAGCGAATGTTTAGAGAACATTAATCCTCCTTCTTTATTTAATGAAGTTAGTCAAATGGATGAGTCGTCAATGGAAGGCAAAACTCTTTGTATTGATACAGAAATTGACAACGAAGAAGCGACGCATTATGTCTTCGACGAACGAATCGAAGAAATAGCTAATGATACAAATGAAACAGAAACTCTTATTTTAAACGACTGTTGCAGCGATTCTGGTGAATTAACATCGAAAATATATTTGCACAATAATCATACAGGTCATACAATTTATATTACTTAAAAAATCAATATTTATTTATAATTGTCATGGTGTTATAAATCATAATATATACTACGTTAATATTTATTAGAGCACCTGAAATTAATTTTAATAATAGTAGGATGATTTTTTTTTCTACTAATTTGAAAATGAATCATAAGTTACATTTATAATGATAAAATAAAATGTATTAAGTATTAATTAGTATAAAAGAATAGTATTTTTTTTAATTTTAGATAACTTAACACCAAAACAAAAACGGCAATGTATTAAGGAAAGATATAAAACGTATATTATTGAAGCAGAACGGGTTAAGAAAGAGCAAGCAAATGGAAATTGTTTGAAAAATTTTGCTGGTAAATGTTCACCTTTCTCAAAACTGACACCAAAACAACGTCGACAAGAAGATAGAGCTAGATTTCAAACTCAAATCCTTGGCAGTCCTGTTTTCGATAAAACTGGACATAGTGATGTCTCAGAAAGTGAATGTGTAAAATTATCCAATACAGAAAAGTCTGGCATTCAATCAATTGCCAAAACTGGTATTCCTATGCTAAAAAAATTTACCAGTGGCAAGAAGACTACTTCTAAGGTAAATCCAAACATTGATCAGGGCAGCAAAGAAAAATACCATAAAAGACTTTCAAACGATGAAGGGACTTCGAGGTTCTATTCTGACGAAGTTATAAAAGCTACAACTTCTTCGGGTGAAGCGAAAAATTCAGAAAAAACGAAAGTTGAAACATTTTCAAATCACGAACAGAAAATTAAAATTGAAGAAGCATTTGCAAATTATGAATATCCGAATTTGGGAATAGAACACACTGTGGAAATGAAACTAGCGAATGGAGTTTCCGAAACATTTTACGATATGAACGGTAAGATTATGAATGAAGATTTTATTGCAGAAAATATAGAAGATTTAGATGAGCTTAAACTAGATGGTGAGAAGGACTTATCCGATAAAGAAGAAAGACAAATCTGCAAAGGTCCACGAATCGTAAAACCAGGAACAATTTCGAGGGATCTAAGCGTGGAATCAAATGGCACGGAGCAATCGGAATTTGACACTCCAAAAGCCATTCGTGGGCGAAGAAAGGCACTGTATTCGATGCCCAATACAAGGAAGTCTACTCCACAGTCTTCTCCGTTAAAGCAGGCACCGTTCGTAGGTGGACCAACAATCAGTCGTAGCAATACTTCACCAATGGTACGCCCGACAAGAGCTACCACGCTCCGACAAAATAATAGCTTTCAAAAATCGAAAAGTTCTCCAAAAATGTCATTAAATGCTGTTGGAGTGGCAGATAAATCTGTTTCAACGAGTACCAATGCCATCAAACGGAGCCCAATTTCGCAAAAGGGCTCGAAAGCAATTAAACGGTTTAGTACGCCAGGTAATTACAACGATACGAGTACGAAAGCGGAAAAATTGGAAATGCCGATAAAACCTTTGGAAAGACAAGGCACTTTTGTCAAAGACGAGCCGGAAATGGAAAATGTTCCTATGGTTTTACCAATGTCATCGTTTAAGCCAAATTTAAAAAAGGCAACAAATTCAAGTGAGCTTAATTTATTTAGATTTATTCAGTTAATTTATTTCAATTGATCATGAAAAGAACTATTTTAATATGACATTTTTTAATAAAGAATTGTATTGTGCAAAGTTTTGTAAAAGTTATGAAAGTCTCATCGTAAATTCAATAATTTTTATAATAATTTTAATAGAAATATTTATTAAATTTCATAAATTTTACCAATTAGTTGTTTTCAATTGTCATTATATATCGTAATAAAAATATCTTATTTTTAGCTGCAAAACTATCACCAAAAACTTCTCCAGTTCACGGAAAATCGAAGATTTCTCTTCGAACTCCTCAAAAGCCAAAATCATCAAAGCTTACAAAAACAACAAGCGCCGAGAAAATTTCTACGTGTATGAACATCCCCAAGCGATCTTCGACAAATTTATGTAGTCCAGTAGTAAAGTCTTCATCGAATTATCAAATTGGCTCTGTCAATGAAAGCGGAATACCTCGAAAAATTTTATTGGGACAGCGCTCTAACAGCAATTCAAGCATTGTTTCCAATGCCTCAACTCAAGGAACTCGTAAAATGGTGAAGGAAGCTACCAGTAAGATTGCCAGCTTGTGGAAAAAAGTCGAGGAAAATAGAAATAAGCAACGCTGTGTAAAAACCGACACAAGGCAATGGATTAGTCAAAACCGCAGATCGGACGATATTGATTCTCCTAGCAATAGGCAGCAAGCTTGTAGGTTATGTAGAAGTTCCACTTTTGAGGATGTTACCAAAGATTCGGAAAATTCGAATAAAGACTTCATCTCAGCTTCGGGAAAGGTGACTACTGTGTAAGATTGACATACTTCTGGTTAGGGAATTTAATTTAAAGCAGTTTAAAACTATTTATAAATCACATTACTTGGCTTATCTTATCAATTATAAATTGTTAAAATTATAGGTATTACAATTTTATAAAACGAAAAAATTACAATTCCATTTACAAGTCTTATATTTTTTTCAATTATAAGTAATTAAAAATACTAACTTTAACAAATGGTAGTAATACATAAGATATTGATTATGAATATTATCTCCTGGTTTTCTTTTGTTTGATTTTTTTTTTTTCGTTTTAAGTTACCAATTCAATTATTAGTTACACTACAATTAATCATAAATTCTGAACTTTATATTCATTTTTATGCATTAAGATAATGTTATTAGATATATGAATCTGTAGATAATATACATTATTCATACAGAATTGTAATTTTATTTATTTTAATAAGAAATAATTATAAAAATTGTTCATTCTTTTAAATTGCTTTTTAAATTAAATTTGTTAACAAAGAATTAAATGTACATCAAGTAGTGTCAAAAAATGTGATTGATTTCCTTAAAATATTTGGCTTGAATTAACTAAAGATAATAAACTCAAGTCAAATATTGTATTTGAATTATAATATTTAATGATTATTCTTTACTAATTTAATAAATTATTTTATAATAAATAATCAATTGGATAAATTATAGAATTATTTTGAAATCTTTTAAATATGTTATAAAATTTTATTTTATAAAAAAATTTAAAAGTTATTCTTAGCTATTCGAGAGATTAAAATTTTTCTTTTTCATTTGTAAAAAAAAATCATTTGGTTATTATAATTTATTTCTAGTGAAAAATTTTTTAATAGATTATTTTTAAATTATATATCACTAAATAATTCCTGTTTTTAACAAATTTTTATTTTTTATTTGATAAACCATTTAAAATAAAATTAATTTTATTTTAATGCTTTCTTTCTTTTAATCGACAATTTTAAACAAATTTTTGAGTAATTTGAAAAGTAAAATAAACATTTGTTAAAGATTTTAAAGTAATACAAATAAATTAAATAGTTTATCTATTGATTTCTTTTATTCAATTTATAGTGCGATTCATTGAATCAAATAATTTAATAACCATAGAGCCAAACCAAAAATCTTAATAATATTATAACATACTTGATGCATCGTTAAATCTTGTATATAAATGATGCATTAAGTGAATTTCTTAAAGCGAGTCAGTTATCTAAATCTTAAGTTGATACGACATCGATTATTTATTAATTCTGTATATAAAGAATATGGAAAATGTGTAGAAAAAAATTTAGCATTTAATGTTTAAGCAATTGCATATTAAATTTGCAATACACTATTGTACATCCAAAAAATCGACTATGAAAAAAACGTAAGTTTTAGTAAATTTAAATGATCAAAATAATTCATTTCGTTTCCATTTTCTTTACTTTTATATCGAAACATTTCATTAAGTATAGCTGGATAAGATTAGCGAGTCTAGTATCCAATTCTTAATTTCTCAAGACTGATAGTATGACACATGGCATAATAAAAAAAGTTAGATTATCAGCTAAAAACTTATTTTGTTTCTTAAATATAAATTTTCCATGATAATAGATATTGAATAGGTATGTGACTTAATTGAGGTCCAAATAACAATGTACCTAGATCGGACTAAGTATTAGAAAATATTGATATAGTAAACGAAACCTTTTGTTTCTAGTCCATTTTATTTAAACTTACTAAGAAACATCACGATTTCAATTAAAAATGGATGTATTATTGTTTTGTTACAGTTACACTCACCGTTACATACATTCACTTGTCAAAAACAAATATATTATTTTGAGAAGTTATAATTTCTTCGGTAAAATATGATTGGGAAATAGAATTATTTTATAAATGTTTATATAATAATAAACTTAAATGAATACTGTTTATTTTATATTGTAAATCATTTATTAAAGAAATTGCGTAACTTTTTTAAAAATAGTGATTTAAAATAATCTAAGCAAGAATATTTTAAATTTGATACTTGACAAGAAATAATATGAATTTTGTTTCTGTGAGGTAATTTTCAGTAGATATGATACCTTTTACAGATCATTTATCTTTGACTAGTAAATATTCTGGTCAAGTCAAGACACTTTATTTATTGATCAAATTGCGCAAATCACAGGTTTTTCTTAACTGAAACATTATATATTTATTTATTTATTTGTTTTCGCATATTTTGTAGATTATTAAAAAATTTGATATAAATCTGTGATGCCATGGTTATGTGTATGTATATATTGTATGGTTCAATTACTCAGTAATATCAGCTTTCCTTCTATTTGAATATTTCGTATTTATAATATGAATTTTTTTAAAGAAGGAAATAGTTTGTAATATTGAGTACCGAAAAATTAATTATTTTTTTTTTTGTTTATTAGTTATTTTTATAGAGTTGTGTTAAAGAAAATACAAGTTTATAATAAAGAAAAAAAGTTTTATTTGAACTTAGTATCTTCTTTAACATACTTTTAAACCCTGCATCCAGTTCAAATTAACTGAAGTTAATTTTTCCAACTTGGAATACATTCAGGGTTTTTAGTTTATTTTATTTACTATTTTATGCTTTGTTTTAAAGCAATTTTGGTCTGTATACCAGACAGATATACTGTATAATTACTTATCAATAATATTTCTCTTTCTCTAATCTGTCTAGTATGTAAGTATAATATTTTGTCAGTATGCCTTGAGTTTGATCGATATTTTCGTGATTTGTATATTATTATCGATCAAAATATAATAAAATTTATAGCTAATTACGATTGTTTATTTTTTATCCTAAATGAAACACTTTTGTTATGAAAGAACCTTTTTAATGTTGTTAATATTATAAAATGTACAATATATACAAATGAAGTATTATTCAGGATGTTCGTATAAATTAATGGCTTTATCTTCAGCGACAGATACAAGTAAATTATTTTTTGAGGGATGATATTTTACACCCCATACCTGAAAATGGATTATTAAACTTAATATTATTCATTTTTATTTAATTAATCAAGCTTTAATTTTAAAGTTACCTGATCAGTATGGTCATGAAAAGTATGTAAACATTGTCGCTGAGCCAATTCCCAAATTTTAACGGTATGGTCAGAACTACTAGAAGCAAATTTTTTACCATCAGAAGCAAATGTTACTCCAAGTACACAAGAAGCGTGTCCGGACATAGTTCCAGCTACATTTGCATCTTTTCTGTTAAAATTTACATTTTACTTTACAATAATTATTTTAAATATGAAAATAAGTAATTTTGGCTTTTAATAACTTTGCTTCTTACATATCATATAATTTCATATGACTATCATCACTAGCAGTTAAGAGTAGTTGAGAGTCGGGAGAGAAACATAAAGATCGAATTTGCATAGCATGCCCTGTAAAACAAAATAATTTTGTATAAACTTGTTACAGAGTATATGTATTTATTAAAGAATTTTAAATTCTTACCTTCCAGAGTTTGTAACACTTTTCCATAAGCAACATCAAAAATATTTATGATACCATCTATTGCGCCACTTGCTATATATTTACCATCTGGACTCTATAAGTAATAATGCAATTATTAGATAATATATTGCAGAAAAATAATCACTACACTGTAGTAATTTAAATAATTGTATTTCCAATAAAAAGTAGTCCATTGTTTGTAAACAAAAATTTTTTTTATTGTTATTAAGTCAAGATAATAATAATGAATTAAAAAAAATTATGCTAATTAAATCAATATATTATGAATGCTTGAATTTTTACTTTAAATTGCTCTCAATATATATATATATATATATATTATACCTGCATTTATGAAGTTAATTAATAATTATAAAAACTAATTAATATCAATAAGTTTTCTGAATTTTTAAATAAAATTTATTATATAAATTAGACATATTTTATTTCTTACATAAGCTACACTAAAAGTAAATTTCCCTCCTCTTGTATCTAAAATTTGTTCTTGTTTTCCATTTTCCGCACTGTATAAATTTATTTTTCCTGCATGACTCCCAGAAACAATATATTTATCATCCGGAGAAAAACAAACTGTCCAAATGTCAACTGGTCCAACTTCTATACTGTACATTTTTTCACCTGACTCTAAGTCCCATACTCTTAAACTTGAATCTAAGGAACTAGATGCACACTCTAAAAATATAATATTTATTGTATATTTAAATATTAATTTACAATTATATTTTAATATTGCTAAATGTAACATACAAACAAATTTATAAAATTTTGTAATTAAACATAATTTTAGCAATATATAAATATTAATTTATTTAGCAATGATAAAATATTCATTTTCATGGCCTTATATATTTAGATAAAAATTCAAATTATTCTTACTTGTTCCATCAGAATTGGTTGCTACAGAAACAACTCCTAGCGAATGTCCAGTAAGTTTATGTTTAAGTTTTAAGCTCCCATCCTTATTTTCCCAAACTTTTACTGTATCATCTACTGAACCAGTTATAATGTATTCACTTGTAATATCATCGTTTGATCGTATGGAGTCACTACATATGTATTATATTTAATAAAATAAAACAATTCAGATATTAAAATGATTATAACAATGAATTTACCGGGAATCTTCATTGTCTATTTGCGTGTCCTTCTTTTTCTTTGGACATCCCCAAGCACATGTCCAAATACTGTCTTCGTGAGCATTTTCAGTTTTATGTATTAAAGAATACTAAATGAGAAAATTATTAATATATTTATAACTAATACTTGAATATCTATTATTTAAATGTTAAATATTTTATATTCAAAATAAGTATACTATAAAAGTGATTTACCATTACTTAATTCTGCTTTTTATATTATATCAACGAAATCAATATGAAAGTTATTTTCTAAATTAGTTACTAAAATTTTTATGTTTTTGATATTATTATCTTCTAATGCCGTAAAGACAAAATCTTTGTGTACATTAACCTCAATTATGGGGTGTAAGGTATCTTGTTGAGAATACAAATTTTGTCCTATAGGGAGCGCTGAAGGCTAATCCTATCTTAACGTGGAGTAACTTTAAATTTTAATGTGCATCGATGTTTTAGTAGTCGTGAAATTAAATAAAATGTTACTTAATTGCATCTCTTTTGCTGTGGAATTTGAAACATCCCAAAACTTCGTGGACTATTACCGATCATAAAGATTAATTAAGTTAAGAAATTTTCGTAATTCATATTCATACTTTCATAATTGATTTTCAACTTTTTGGACGACTTTCGGATGACCATAGAATAATTGTAGATAATGTCTGATTAGTGTCTTAAATTACCATTAAAATGAATTTTTCTCTATTATTAAGTACATTCTATAATTAATGATTATGAATTATTATACATTATACGTCACATGTTTATTATCAATTAATTTTTATAATTAAACATACAATTAACATCTTCAAATTTATAACTTTAACAATCAATTAATTTTATTAAATTAATTATTATCCAATTATTGCTTTATTAAATGCGTTAAATGTTTTTATATTATTGAGTAAATTTATTAGCATTCATAGTTTAATTTATAATTAAAATAAACGTTTACTCAACATAAAAATTTTGCTGCTTGTATTTTGATTCACAATTGTGAATTACAAAAAATTTAAATTAAGGTATTTCTTGCTAAAATAATTTAGCTGAAAAACTTAAATTAGTACGATTATTTAATTAGAATAAACGATTGAAAATTATTCAACCAATTCGTTAATACGTTAAATAATATATTAACCTTGAAACTAGTATACAGAGTAAATTCATACAACAAAATTTTGGTAAATAATTCTCTTATAAATATAATGCACTTTTTAAACTACTAATTATTTGAAATAATTTATATACTAAAGTTAGAAAATCTTAATTTATGTAATAAAATTAATCCAAAGATTAATAATAGTTCAAATTTCAATATAATACTTTAGAGTAACAAAATAATAAATGGTTCACCTATTTCGTTTATTTATATTTTTTTTCAAAATGAATTAAAATTAATGAATTGATCATAATAAAAAATAAAATAATGATCCATGTAAGCCTAAATAAAGTGTACATTAGGCTCTTGAATAAATGAGGTTAGTAAAGGTCCGATTGAAATTGGTTGCCGAAAACCGCACAGCTATTTAAATAATGTTAGTCGTGTCAAATTACCTCAAATAAGAAAAGAAATTCAGATATCGAGTGTTCATTTATTTATCCAGCAATTATATATTTAGTTTTCTGTTTTTCAGTGAAATAGAATTATTTATTACATAAAAATTGTAATGTTGTATTATAATAATTTCCGCTAATAACAATAGCAATTCATGTAATATATATTTAAATATAATTAATTTTATTGTTTTGTAATTTTTTAATATTCCATTTCGCCATGGTAATTTTTTTTAATGTAATTTACATTTATGTATTGTAATTTTTGTTATCATAGCAATACTTAAAATTATGTAAATTTTTTTTTTACTCATAAATTGTCTTTTTTTTTTTTTTTTTTTTTTTTTACAGTATTACTCGATTCTTTTTCTAAAGCAAATTTTATGTTTTACGCAGACGAATGCTTAATTTGGTGTAATTATAATTTTCCAGTGTTAAAAAATCATATAGGCATCTTAAACTACTTTCCCATATGTAATACGAGAAAGGCATATTAATTTTATTGTAGTTTTAAAATCAATTTTTAATCGAATTCTGTCGTCTGATGCTTAATATATTTTGATTAATGATTGTTTAGTAAATAATTGTAATAACCGGTGCTATTCAATGATTAAAATAATGTGATAAATATTAACGGGAAAATGTAAGAAAATAAACTGTGTCCGTGCATTTACTCACGTACGTACGTGGGCGATACCGATTTGAAGGGAGAGACTAACGAACAAAAAATACAAAAATAAATAAATCTCCATTATTATATTATTATATCATCATTATATTATTAGAGAATTGTTGTAGATAGTTATGTTATTTTAGATTTTAAGCTTGAGAAAATTACTAATTTTTGCTTAAACTCCTGAAACGTGACATTACTTATTTGCTAAACGTCAAATTTCACCAATTTCTTAATCGATAAGGTTTATGTGGTTATGATAATTGTTTCAATTATTGATCATAGTCGCTAATTTCTAAAAATTATAGAGAAATTCGTCATCGACTATTTTACGCAATGTGATACCGTATGGTGATGACGTATTCAACTAATGAATTATAAATAGAATTATAAATAGTCCTGATACATATGCTATTTAATAGTAATGGCTGATTATTTTTTATTCGTTAATATATATATATATATATATATATGCATATATAAAATTAAAATATTCAATTATATTAAATGCAAAGGGTAACGCGTTTATTAAATCTGCATTAAGGAAGTGTTTCATTTTTTCTTACATTATTTGATACATATGGATATTTATTATAATATATATATATATATATATATATATGATATATCATTTTTAATTATACTACTATAACGATTCATTGAGGATCGGTATGTGCAATTTTACTTGCTCACAGCGCTTTACTGCTAGTGGTAAAAAGAGGAAACTTTTTAACTGCAAAGTGCAATAAAAGAATTCCTCCCACCTTTAATGAAATAAATGACCGTGATATCTTATCATCAGAACACGACTTATAAATTACGATATATAACATATGTCATTTTTCTATTGGTGGCTTCGAATGTATATGTTGACGAAAGACACGTGGGCAAGCGTATGAATAGGTAAGACCAAAATCATTTCCAGTCATTTCTTAAACATTACATTTAGAATGCGTTTCTTAAAGTAAGTATAATTTTTTTATTAACTGAACTCATCTGTTATAGTTAATCAACCAATATTTTTATTATTTGTTATAATTATAAATTTTTTTAATTCCAGAATGAAACTATTAATACCTTTTGTATTTTTGATTTTATCTACAACTACTGCACATCTCAATTTAAAACATGTCAAATGTTTAGGTATAATTTAAAATATTTTATTTGGTATGAAATATTTAAAATGTATATTAGCAATTTGCTTTAATTATTTTATTTTTTTGGATACAGTTTGTAGAATAATTGTTGATGAATTTGAAAAAGAAGTAGGTCAAATTGACCCTAAAAAAAAAATTGAAATCGGACAATATCGATTAGATCCTGCAGGAAATACACTTCACAAACATGTAAAATACATTTTTTTCTTTATCTACTTCTTCTATTATAATGTTTATTATTTTTGTAATAAATTTGGATAATTCGGATAGGTACCAATGACCAGATCTGAAGTTCATCTTTCTGAAATGCTTGATAATATTTGTAAAAAAATGGAAGATTATGTTAGGGCAAGATATAAATCTAATGGTAGATTAACAATTTTAAAATTGATGACTGAGTCTGGTTTAAATCCTTTACTCAGAGATGTAGATATAATACAAGATGGTGATTTAAATAAAAGTTTGGAATACTTTGTAAGTATTATAGAATATTTGCTGTATACACTAACTATATTTTTAATTAATTTATGAATTTAAATATGATTTAGTGCGAAGATGTTGTGAATGACAATGAAGAAACATTTATAAAAGTTATGGGTAGTAAGGAAGAAGATGCTAAAACTAAAATTTGTACAGAGATGGCCGATTATTGTACAGAATTCATAGATGAACTGGATGATAGTGATGCAACAACCGAAGCTGATGGTGTAGATGAAAGTGAGCAAGACAATAAACCTGAACAAGTTGAGACATCTGAACAAGACAATAAATCTGAAAAAGATGAGCAACATGATGAACTTAATCAAAGCGATAAAACTGAACTCTGATTAATAATAAAGTATCTAGATATTTTATTTGAACTGAAAAATAATTTATGCATAAAGTTTTTATTTATAAATAACAATATTTTGAAATATATTTATAAACTAGTTATTTAGTTTTATAATTTTAAGTATAACAAGATGTAAGTATATCAATTTATTCATATAACAGAATATATGTACAAAATCTTTTTTTAAAATTAAATTACTCTAAAACAAAAATTTTTAATTTAATTAGTTATTATAATATAATTTGTTTAAACCACAAATATTACAGGTAATAAAAATTATTTTAATATACTTTATAATGTAATAAATTCAATTAAAAACTTCAGTACATTTATTTAAAAAATATGAAATAATATATTTAAAATAATGAATTTATTTCTTTGGAATGTTTACTATTATATTACTATTGAATAAAAATTTAATTTAAATAAATATTTTTATCTTATTTTATTTTGTTTGAGCTGATACCAATCTTTCAATGCAATCGTACTCGTGACTTAACCATAAGGCACAAATTAAACGTCCAATTGTTGCTTCTTTGGTACAAGACTGCTTCCAATCTATTAAAATATGGTACAAAACTTCACTTATTCCTTTATGCTTAAAATCTTCTAAAAATTGCTCTATTTGACCTTTTGAAAATCCAATTCTTTTAGCAAACTCCTTCCATCCACTACCAATGTGAGTTTTAATTAAAAATATATCTTCCTTAGTAATTTCTACTGTGCTTTTACTTAAAGTTTCTATATTTGGAAGCATTTGTTTCGATTCTTTTTCATTACAATTATTCATTGATGCATTAGGATCTTGAAAATTATTTAGATTATATGTATGTTTCGTTGTTGATCCAATTTTTATATTATTCGAATGAATAATATTATAATTTATTGTGGTATTTGACATTTTTGATTTCAACTTTTTCTTTGATTTTAGATAATTTAAATCCTTTATTTTATTTGTAGAATTACTTGTAGATGAGTCAATGATTGGTATATTTGATGACATTTTATCCTTTATTCCACTTCTATTTAAACTTTGGTTATCAATACCACGATGATTTAATAATTGAAGTTGCTCAGGTATTTCATCACAAATAATATCCATTTATTTATTCAGTTGCCTTAAAAATATCGGACATTTTAAAAACAATTAACTAATGCATAAATGTTTTTATGCAATTATTTGCGTCAGAAAGAAACCAAATGTCAAGATCTGTGTTTTAATTTTGCAGGAAATCATTTAATATCTTCCTTATTCATGAATACATAAAAAAAATTGTTCTTATTCTCGAATATTTTATATGATTAAGGTTATTAATAATATTACTTTACTGTTTATTGACGGTAATAAATTTTCTTTAATGTCAAGTTTTTAATTATTTACGGTCAATAATTTACGCGTCAATATTCTATGTTATTTAAAACTTATTTTACTTAAATTATCAAATATTTTTTTAAATAAATTAATTTTTATTTTAGTTTTAATTATGAAAGTTTTATTTTATATTTTTGTACGCGAAATATAATTGTAAAAGTAAAATTAAATAAAAACATTTTGAAAGTAATATATTTAGCTTAAATTAATTATTCAGTAATAAATTAGATAAAAATTGTATTCAAAAAAGTAATTTTACAATGTTTTAAACATTTTTTACTTATTTCTCTATTTAACATAAGAAAAATATTTGTTCTTATACACTAAATAGTTATAAGTTTTAAGAATATTATTTATATTTTAATTTAGTATATTTAAATTAGTATAAATTAGTTGATATTTGTGGAAGACACATATTGTAAAAAGCATTTTTTGCCCAGAAATTTTTGTCCTTCCAACCGCAGTAGCCCTTTGTAGTAATTTGTTTAAGATTTTCAGCACCAATATAATGTGGGTCCAAAATTAAAAATTTTACATTTTCATATTGATCATTATAAGATACACCAAGAATTACGTATGCTAAACGATTTCCACCTACAGATAAATAAAAAAACTTTAAATTTCATGATAATAAAAAAAAATTTATTATTAATAATTATTTGTAATATACAGTAATTTGTAATATATAGCTTTATTTGAATGAAGAAATTCATTCAAATTCTCTCAGAATAATTATAGTCTAAATATACACATTAGCGTTCTCTTATGCACGTATTAATATTTAAAGTTTCCCGCTTTCAATTTTAATTACTTATTTTTAATTACTTATTGTCTTAAATAATTGTAAATCAGGAATGAACTTTAAATAGGAGTTGTAAAATTTATATGTGCATGCATGAGTGCCGCGTGCGCGGGGGGCGCGTGTGCTTACCAATGGACAATATAAAATAATATTTAATATTAAGACCTTAAAATAAATATATTGGTTTACCAATCATAACAGGTGTTCCTTGAGTTTTAAAATGATCTGCTAAATGAATAACTAGCTTAACCATTTCTGATCCACTTGAAGCACATAATATTTTAACAGAAACATTAAAAAGAGATTCCAAAACATAACCAACTTCGGTTGAACCAATCCATTGCGAGGAATTTAAGAAAGAAGAAGGCTTATCACCAATGTCTACCAAACATTCTTGAATCTCCGAAATTTGTGGAACATCTTTTTCAGTATAACCTTGGAATCTATAATTTAAAAATTTTTTTTAAATAGAATTAGAAAAATAGCTCTATAAGTTTTTAAATTTATGATTTACCTAAACCAAGAAGAAATAGTTTGAAGTGCTCTATAAGCACATCCCCAATTAGTATCTGCACTTGTATAATGGTAAAATTGGTACAAGCCATGCACAATATCAACTTGAGAATCTATTGATAATAAAAAACTATAGAAATTAATAAAATTGACAAATGTTTAATATATATATATATATATATATATATATTTATTTATAAACATTCAAGATTAATAATTGTGTAAAATTATCTTACTTGTAGGATTCTTCACATATTTATGAGGATTTACAAGAAGATCGTCGTTATATTTATACAACAATAATAATGAACTTCCTTTTCTAAAGCAAGGCTTGGTCATATCTATTCCAAATTTTCTATGCAAGTGTTTACGATATTCACCTAAAATTATCATAATATATTTAATATAATATAATAAATTATATTCAAATATCGTAAAGTAAAAAATATATAAATTTTACAAAAATTTAATTTATTATATTATTAGATATAAATAATCATACTAGTTTGTAAATTTGACCATTTGTTAGGGTATACTACTGTTAATAAATGTCCAAGTATTAACGGATTAAAATGGATTGGTTCGGGTAAACATACTGTTGCATCCTTAATTTTTGAGTAATAATGAAATGATGTAGATATAAGTCTCAAATTTCGTCGAATTGATTCTACAAGAATTTCAAAGAATCGTGCTAAGGTTATTTTTTTACTTATTAATGCTAAAGCATCAATTTTTACATAACATTTATAATATTCTCCGTGTTCTAAAATTAATTATATAAATATGAAATATTATTTTTTATTAATCAAAATATAGTTTCAATAAGTAAATATAAATAATTTTTTCAAATTAATTATAAAATTTTCTATACTTACCAAAGTATTTCAAAACAGGAGCTAATAATTGTTTTTCAGAGCTTTTATCAAGAGATATTCTCGAAAATATTGAAACTGTTACAGTATCCTAAATATTTGTAATAATAATTATTATAATAATAATGCTTTTAAAATTATTAAAATTATAAAATGATAAAATTATTAAAATATAATTATTATATATACTTACAATAGGAATTGAATTAAAATGACTCATGAATAATGAATTCGCTAATTCCTCATATAATATTTCTTGAAAACAATCGTTATTACTATTCTTTAGTTTAAAAAAATGTCGTTTTGTTTTTTTAAAATAAAATCCTAATTTTTCAGGGTCTATCTATTTTCACAATATAAATTTAAAGAATTATTAAATAAATGAGATTTGTTAAAATTAAAAAATTATTACATTCTTTATAATTTGTTGAAGAGCTTCAAGCACTTTTTTTTTTTCTGAAAATAGTGGTAGATTTGTTATCGCTCTAACGCAGAAAAAATTCTTGAAAAAGTCGTTTGAAATTTCTTCATATGTTGTAGGTTGAAGTGTTTCATTTATGTAATAAAATGGAGATATGGTATCTGAATAAGAACAATACTTAATAATCAATGGATTATCTGTGCCATCAATATCCTACAATAAAAATAAACAAATTTTATAAATAAAAGGTTAATGTACTTTAGCAAAAACTGAAGTAGTATAAGTGAAGAACATTTTTTGTTTAATTATATTTCACCTTAAATGTATCGGGTGTTACTGGTTTTTCTTGATCAACATATAAAATTCCAATAAGATTAACTTCTGTTGGCATATGATATTGCACATCCAAAGGCTTGATTTCATTTTCATCATCGTCAATAGAATTAAGGCTAAAACTTATAATTGTTAATGTTTCTTCATAAACAATTCCATACAAATAACCAGTTATGTCAGTACGTATATTACTTAAACGCTGAAAATAATAAATAAGACAATTAAATTTCAGGTTAAATAGAACAATGAACTTATATTGTTAATTTATTATGTAATTAGAATTATATAATTTATATATTAATATTAATTAACTAATGAATATATACTATTATTTACCTGAATAACATTTTGCAGAATGTTTAATTGTTGAACCATGTTATAGATAAAATTTCAATTTCTTCATATGCGTTCTCCCAGATCTTGAGGGTAAATAATTAAAATAATAATATAACATTAAAATTCGTTTAAGTGGGGTAAATACTTGTATCTTAAGCATTGAACATCTACATAGTTTATATATTACATATATTTTTTAATACTAATATTTAATATTTAATGAACTAAATTAATAAAATGTTATTCTGTATTTTGTACAATATTGTTTAAATAAATTATTCAGTAATAATATGTAATATAATTCATTATATCATTGTAATATATAAATGCAAACATATGTATGCACACGAATGAACATACGTTTTGAAATTAAGACATCGCATTTTTCATTAAAAAAATATTTATTATATTAATATAAGCCAAATAAATTATAAACATTGCAAGTTTATTAAAAAAAATGTTTAAGTTATATTATACAAATAAATATATATATATATATATACGAAAATTTATATAATTTTCCCATTTATATAATGAAAATTTTATATAAATATAGTTTGAGTTACTTGATGTTGAGATTACGAGTCAAGGCATCAGGTACCAAGGTTAATTCTTCATTATCGATAGAGCAATCGTCGCCCCTTTCTCATGTATGTTCGATTTGTCCAAAAAGCGTGAAAGTAGTTAATTGCCGTTCAATAATGTATTGTCGCACCGTGGCGGTATTTCGGCAAAGTGAAGGGAGTAAGAAAAAGCGAGATAATCTCGAGAGCGAGACGCGGATGCCTGTGAGAAATAGCGATTCGCAGATCGGTAAAAGTGATTTGATTTTCCGTTTGTCTAGTAATTGCAACAGGAGGAATAAGAAGTGTACCTTTCATTCGATTCAGTATGTGTTGAACACATGCCTGGATTATTAGTTTTCAGTATAAATATAAATGCTGATATCAGTGTTCGAACGACGCTCGAGGACGTGTTGTTGCTAGCTGCTGGGAACTGTCAGTCCAGCCGGGAGGACGGACGGTTCTACAACCGATCGAAATTTCGACAAAAAGAGAATCGAGTGACGTTTTGCAATGCTACACCGTGACGTACGTTATTTCAACGTCGTCGTTGCCAAGTAGATTTCACTTTTTCATTTTAATGCGACTTGCATGCATCATTGAAATTCCAATCTCGAAAGAGATCAAGTGATGAATTGAATAATTATTATAATTTACTATTGCAGGTGCTTTATAAAATATAATTATTTTACGAACGTGTGTCAATTTAGCTCGTTATTTAATAACATTTAATTAATGGAACAGCTATTAATAATGGTATTTTGCGACATATAGTTGTTTAATTAATCATAAGATCGAAATCTGAAATCCATCTGGAGGACAATTAAAGGAGCAAAAAAAATGTGGTAGTTTACCCTTTTAATTAATGGATGTTAACTTATTCCCTTTGGAGAACACAATGAACTGTTGCTATGAACTGTAAAGTTACTCATTTTTATATTTTCAAGAGTGGTCTAAGATTTAATATGTCGTAACATTAAAGTGTTAAAAGTGTTCTTGCCAAAAATGGGTTTCTCCAGTAGCTTGCAAGGCCAAGCTTCGCACGAAGCTTTACTGGGCCGGCAAGATGCTGAGATCAAACTTTTGGAAACAATGCGAAGATGTCTTACTTCAAAGGTCAAATCCGATAGAGAGTACGCTTCAACTATTTCATCGCTAAGTGTTCAAGGCAAAAAAGTTGAACGTAGCGAAGATTTAGTTGGCAGCTTAATAGCTCAGGTGAGTAATAAATAATTAATAATTTTTTCACAGAATATACTCATATAAGCTATATTAAATTTTTTTTTTATCTTATAATTATTAATTTCATTTTATCCAGAAAATATCAATATATAAAAATATATAAAAAATTTCAATTTATATATTGCAATATATACTGTAGTGTATATCAAGATATTAAAAATTTATAAAAATGTTATACAAAGAAAGAAATTTTACTTACATACTTTTATATGAAATTTTGCACATATATATTGCATTAACAAAAATTTAACATTATAAACGAATATATCATGTATCATTATAATGTTTATTCATAAAGTAATTTTGAAATAAATATTATATTAGATATTAATTCTAAATCTTGTTTTTATAATTTTAAAATCATAGTAAAATAATAATTGAGATAAAACAATTTAATAAAAAAATATACATTTATAAAAGCATTTAAAAATAATGAATTCGTTATTAAAATTTAAGAGCTGGAGAGACATAATGGAATCTATAGATCAAAAAGCTAAGTTAATCAAGCAGCAAGCAGATTCTATGGAGAATATTGTTGTGGAACATATATCTTCTCTACATGGCGAAAGAAGACGAGCTAGAAAATTATATCAGGAAGAACAAGTTTGGTTAAATAATCAGTTTCAGCAGGTAGTTATTACTGTATTGCAACATCAAAATTTATTAACCAATACTTTTTCTTATTAGATACCTTTTTTATAGTTAACAGATGAAGTAACTCGAAAAAAGGCAGAATATCAGAAAAATCTTGAGATGTATAAATTAATGAGATCTCGATTTGAAGAACATTATGTAAAATGTATGTAAAATATATTTGTTAGATATTATGTATTAATATATTCTAGTTGTAATTTAAGAAGACCGATATATCCAGATTTTAGATTTTAAATTGACTCAATTATCTATTTTGATAATATAAGATAGAGTTTATATTTTCATTTTTGTATCATGAACTAGAGATTTTAACATATATAGTAATTTTGAAAATTATTCATCAAATTGCGTCATTATAATTAAATAAATTTTAACATTAAACAACGTAAAAATTATTTAAAATAACTTTTTAGTTTAAGCTCATTCGATCTAAATGCATCATACCATCTAAAAGTTATCTATTATATTTATGTTGTCTGTAATGGATTTTCATAATTACCATATTTAAATAAACTTTAAGATTTTTTGAACTTCGTATAAAATTTAGATCGAAAATAGCGTCCTTGAAGCTTTTAAATAATAGTAATTGTATTGATTTAATAATCTGTATGATTGAATTATATATTTTTTGCTATATGTACAATTTACTTATTTATATATTTTAAATATTTAATTTTTATCTTTAAATATTTGCAATATATAATTAATAATTATAAATTTTCTTTTAATATTTAACGTATATTATGCATTAGGTTCAATAAAGGTCAATTAATTCTTGATATTATGTTTAAAAATCTAAATATAAAGAAATTTTTATTAATTTCATTTTATCGAATAATCTATAATAATATAATTGTTGGTATTTTAATTTAAAAATTTATATACATTAACTTTTTTTTTATTTAACATTTCAGATTATTTGTAATATTTACTAGATTATAGAAACGTTTATTTCGAAATATTGAAGATTATTATATATTTCTATGAAATTTATTTTACAAATATTGCTAATACAAAATTTTAAAATAACTTGTCGTCATATTTTAAGTAGATTAAAAAACTAAATAAAGTTACTTGTGCTGGTGTAAAATAAAGCAGTATACTAAAAATAGAAACATGCCACGCTGTTTTGTTTGCTGCATAGGTGTTTGCTATATAGGCTTGTACATTGAGTTGATGCAATAATACTCAAATGAATTTGCATTTACTACAAATATTTTTTATGATATCATAAAAATGACATTTTTTAATGCATTTTGATTACTTAAAGAATATAAATTTGAATGTTAAACTAGAAATGTCATGATTTATTCAATTAAAATTGTAATTTATTTTATACAAATTAAATTTATTAAGTTGGTAATAATTTTAGTAATCTAAACTATTTTTAGAAAATATCAGAAAATAAGTTATATATTTATAGCATATATTTTATACACCTTAATAACAATAAAAGCAATAAAAACAAATATTAAAATTTGTTTCTAATCATTTTTAACTAGAAGATTTATTAATCATTGTGCCAAATTTTTATTTATTTTTTTTTTTTTACTGCTAAAAGAATTTGTACTTACATTATGTCAATGACAAAATATATAAAGTTACTATTTTTGTGAAACGATTTAAATATATATGTTGCATTACACCGACTTGTGTTTTTAAGGCTTGAAATCGTAAGATGATACAATGCATAATAAAATTCATCACTGTTATTAATTATATTTCTGTGTTATATAGCTGGAAGAGGAGGACGAAAATTGGATGAAGTTAGAGAAAAATATCAGAAAGCATGTCGTAAATTACATTTGACTCATAATGAGTACGTATTACTTTTGGGTGCAGTTACTGAATGTGAACACGATTTAAGAACTTGTTATTTGCCTAGTCTTCTTCAAAGACAACAGGCTATTCATCAGGAATTTGTCATAGCCTGGTAAGTTTAATAAATAAAAAGTGGTTTATATACATTTTTTTTATACAAAATAATTATAAATTTAAATAAATTATAAAAAATATATTTACAAGCTTATTGGGTTAAAGGCAATAGAGGTAATAAATTATAATCATTTTTATTTTTTATATATAATAACTATTCCAATAAATTTATAGTTATTTCTTTATTTTAGGAAAGGAATACTACAGGATATTGTTAAATATACAGATTTTACAAATGAAAAATTTTTAGAAATTCACACTCGTATGCAAATAGCTGTCGATACTATAAAACCCATAGAAGAATACAGAGATTTTATAGGAAAACATAGGTATTGATTTAAAAAAATTTTCTAACATTTGATTATCAAAGTTTTTATTTTTTAACGGACAGTTTAAATTAATTGTAGAACTAGACCAGCATCTCCGATAAGGTTTATTTTTGATGAAAATTTGGTGGATGATACATCGGGGAAACTACTGCCCAACAAACTGACAGTCGACAATTTAACAATAGATTGGTTAAGAAATCGATTAACAGAATTAGAAACTTCATTAAAAGTAACGCAGTTAGGTCGACAAACTACACAATCTACCGCCGAAAACAATTGCGATATAAAGTAGAGTGTTATTTAATATAACTATTTCTGTTTAAATTTCTATAAATTTAATTTCTAAATTTTATTGTGTAGATCGACTTTAGATTATACACAGGAACGTGAAGAACTTAGGTTACGCTGTCAAGAAAGAAAATTACAAAGACAAGCTGAAGTTATTAGAGGTGCTTTAAATGAACTCGGCTGTGAAGAATTACCATCTGGATGTGATCTTTCTATGGAAGGTTCATTTACAGAGCCAATAAATAAGGTAAAATTAATTAAAACTTGTTGAAAAATTACGATAATTTAATTAAAAAATTGTTCATTCTTTGTTATTGTACAATATATGGTTAATTGTTTTTAACATTACGTATATATTAACATAATAATTATTATCATGAATTATAAAGATAAATCGACTTGGATAATATTATTGTTTCAGTACTATTTACTAACAGTCATCTTAATCTTAAAATATAATCATTGTTAATTTAAAGACTTTAATTTCCTAGTCAATGTTTCAAAAAAAATCATATAATTATGGCAAAAATTTCTAATTTTTTGCATACATAAGAGTACTACAATATAATTCTTTAATAGTAATAACACTTTAATAGTTTGCTCTTTATTGGCAGATACATCATTTATCTAATACAATATATTTTTTTCAGAATAAATTGAATATTAGAGTTTTCGAAAATTATATTAAGTCGCATTTCTAGCGTTCAAATATTAAATATTTCAATTCATTTAGAACATAAAATGAAGCCAAGGGCTTCTTAAATTCTTTTACTTTTCTCGCAAATATTATATCGATGTAAAAATATTAAATATACATTTTTGTCGATGTGTAAAAAGTATGAATTTCTAAATAATTATATTTAATTGTATTTTAAATGTTATTTGAATTTTGAATTATCGTAGTTTTTATAAAAATTAAATATCTATAAATAATAAATTAACTTACAGCGGAGTACTATAACAGACAATAGTTTGTTTACTTTACGAAGAAATAAAAAATTAATCACAATCATTAAATCACCTTTTAAATCATTACCAGCAATACATAATGAAAAAAACGCTCTCGTTAGAGCTAACAGTGAAGATTCCACTGTACTTAGAGGTGTTCATTCCTCTCCAATCGTATGTCCTTAAAATTTAAAAAGTGTCTGTTTTGCATTTTTTATATAATACATTTGCATATTTATCATTTGCATTAACAAAAATAATAACATATTTTGTTTATTATTTTCAATTTTTTAACCTATGAAAATGTAGAAAGAACATTAAAACATTAATAATGAATAAATTTTATGAGTTAGTCACTAAGAAATAGAGTATCTTTAAAAACAAATGTTATTCTTAGATTTATTATTTTTTATATGTGAATAAACTCAATAATATATTTCACATTAATAAAATTTCTTCTACATAAAAAGGTAAAAAATGATACTTTAATAACGTTTATTAATGTAATCATTATTATTTAAATAATTAGCATACTAATATATTGTTAAGTACTTTGATTTACAAGTAACAATAATAATAGTGTATTTTTAATAGCCTGTAATGTTAATTTTAATCTTAACAAATGTATTTATTATCACATCATTGGTGTGAAAATAATTTATTTTAATTCGTTTGTTATTTTCTCTTAATATTGCATGTACATTACTTTGGATTCTCTTAAAAACTTATTAATAAATTGTATAGGTACCTCAACGTGGAATCTCCAATTGCAATAATCAAAAAGGAAACGGAAATGGTGGTCTTATGGAAGAGGAATGGTTTCACGGAGTTCTACCACGAGAAGAAGTTGTACGGTTATTAGTTAGCGAAGGAGACTTTCTAGTGCGTGAAACTACTAGAAACGATGAGTGCCAAATTGTTCTATCCGTCTGCTGGGATGGTCATAAACATTTTATCGTTCAAACTACGCAAGAGGTATATTGTCTTATGAATTATGTTGATAATGAAAATTTTGTAAATTGTAAATGACCAAGTTCATAAATATTTCTGAATCATTTAATAACTTATTTTTTATGTTATATTTTAGGGACATTTTCGATTTGAAGGACCTACATTTCCTTCAATTCAAGAACTTATAACGCATCAACTCAAATCTGGGTTACCGGTAACTAGTCGATCAGGAGCCATATTGAAAACTCCAATTTCTAGAGAGCGATGGGAGCTTAATAACGACGATGTTTTATTGTTAGAAAAAATTGGCCGCGTTAGTAATTAAATTAGCATTATTACGATTTTTAGTTAATTTGAATTTAATTAGTTGTATAAATGCCTTTATTTTAGGGTAATTTTGGGGATGTTTATCGAGCATTGTTAAAAACATGCAAGACTGAAGTAGCTGTTAAAACGTGTAAAGTAACATTGCCCGATGAACAAAAGAGAAAGTTTCTTCAGGAAGGTAGAATCTTAAAACAATACGATCATCCAAATATTGTAAAACTTATAGGAATCTGTGTACAAAAGCAACCTATAATGATTGTTATGGAATTAGTTCCAGGTAAGAGTAAAAAGCTTTTCATTCTTTTATACATTTGTCTTAAATTAAAGGATTTAAGTAAAACGTGAATATTTAAGGTGGATCGTTATTAACGTATTTAAGAAAAAATGCAGCTAGTATAACACAAGTTGAACAGCTTCAAATGTGTAAAGGCCAAATTTTGTATTCATAGAGACTTGGCTGCTCGAAATTGTCTTGTAGGTATGTATATACTTTAATGTTTTCATTAATAATACTTGTTAATAATATTAAAAGTATCGCATTTATATTTGAATTGAATTTCGTTATAGGGTACGAGTCAATAGTTAAGATCTCAGATTTTGGTATGTCACGAGAAGAAGAGGAGTACATTGTATCGGACGGTATGAAGCAAATCCCTATTAAGTGGACAGCTCCAGAAGCACTTAATTTTGGTAATTAAAAAGAATTTTATTATTTGTGAATATTTTCTTTTCTTTTTAACGTACTTGGTAATTTATGTAGGTAAATACACTTCCCTCTGTGATGTTTGGAGCTATGGTGTACTCATGTGGGAGATTTTTTCTAAAGGGGGATATCCATACAGTGGATTATCTAATTCTCAAGCTCGTGAAAAAATAGACGGAGGTAAAAATACAAAGTAAATAACATAATACGTTTATGTAATATGGTAAATTAATGTTTTAGGGTATCGAATGCCTGCTCCAGAGGGTACACCCGATGAAATTTATCATCTTATGCTACGATGTTGGGAATACGAACCGGAGAAAAGACCACACTTCGATCAAATATATTCTGTTATCGACACTTTAAAACAAGCTTACAAATTAGTACAAGCTTAAACGAAAAAAAAGTGTATATATATATATATATATATATATATATACATAATTTTTAATTTAATTCAATAAACAACGAAATTACAATGAATCTTACTTTTCAGAGACTAAAAAAAAAAAAAAAACAGAAATTGAAAATTGTAAACAAACGTTTTTGTTGTGCATTTAATGGTTCTTTTAAAATTATGCCATTGCTTGAAATACAGTGTTTTTTAACGTCTAAAGTGGCAGTAATTCAAATACTAATCGTGCAATAAATTAAAGTTGAAACTATTGGAGAGATATAAATCTCAAACATTGTTGTTTACAGCACATCGTGCTCGTTAATTGAAGTATTATAGTAATTATAAGAATCATTACATCTGTTTTTAACTATTAGAATATTCTATCAAGTCGTTCGTATTGTTTTTTGCCATTATTTATATGAAAGTTATATGCTATACAAAGCATGTATTCTTAGGAATTACGTATTTCAAATTTTATTCTATTTTTAACTATGAGCTATCATTTCCTTTTTTGTACTGATATATCTTCAGAATAATAGGGGAACAAGTACTGCCTTAATATAAACTTTTTAAAAACATATTATCAGTCATCTTCCAAATAAACATTGTATCTATGAAAAATACGTTTTGAATTGAACTACGTCAATATTTTAATACTCATGATTGTTGTTGTTGTTTACAGTAACAATTAAAATGTGTATGAAATCGTAAAAACTCATTTGAGAATGTCTTGTATAAAAAATATACATATATGTACATCAGTTTATTAAAGCACAATTATTTAAAATCCTGTTCCTTAAATTAAATTGCATTGTGCATAGTTTTACAAAAATAATTAATTTCATATTAAATATGTCTTTTATTAAGAACTTAAAAATAAAACTAGAGTAGAAAATTTTATCTATTTTACATTTATTAAAGATAAAGTTTTATAAGTTCGTCACTAACTGCTGATGGTGTTAGTATTCCAAGATCTGTGAAAAGGAGACTAATATATTGAGGAGGTGTATAATCAACTAATGGATGCTCTTTTCGAAGATCTTTTCCTAATGTACTAGATGTATACTGAAACAAAAATGAATAGATTCTATTGTACTCTTTGCATTTTAATCGGTACATATTTAAAGCAAGACTAACTTAAGTAATCCGTACAATTCTACGATTAATTACATTAAATATTTCAATTTTATCATTATCGGTTAAACATATTTTAACATAATTTCAATTTAAAATTAAATTAAGTATACATTTTCAAACTGTTTTATTTTGTGTATTATAAATTCCTCAATTAACGCTTATAATGAAGGCATCGTCACTGCGTCTATAATTAGTTAAACTTACTTTAAATTCATCAGGAAGATCTACTTGATTAAGAGGATAAATTCTCGAAAATTTGAAACTTTCTGTAAGAACATAGAGTGGCTTCTTCATTTCTTTGGCACAAATAGCCATTGTGTAGGTTCCAACCTTTGAAAAAAGTATATATATATTTTTTTTAAATATTGTATTACAATATGATGGAGCTTCTTCTTACTTTGTTGATAATGCCACCGCTTTCTGCAACGCCTTCAGCTCCAACCATTACCATATCAACTTGCTCCATTATGTAACCCATAGACGAATCTAATATCAATGTACAACGAATGCCAAGATCTTTAAGATTTTGACACATTTTTGTCCTACGAATCAATAAAATAAATTATTAATAGCAATCCTTTTTTTTCATTTTAACTTTCATAGATTTTACAAATATAACTTATCTAGTGCGATAATTATTTTAACTATAATTAATCAATTTATTTTATTAATTCTGGTAAAATTATACTATCTATGTACACACACACATAAGTTAAATATTTCATACCCACTACTGTCTGGAGACGATTCCGTTACATAAACTTCAAAAAGTTTATTATTACTCGCTGCTTCTTTCATTGTTTGTAATACAACTCTAGATCGTGAATGCGTAAGAATTTTCTAAAATAAATTGATAGGAATTAAATATTTAAAGGTTTTTTATAATTACAATTAAATATAATTATTTACCGATCCATCCGTAATAAAATTTGAGGCTAATTTAGCAATTTTCCCTCTCGCAGCAATTAATTTTTCATAAAATATTTTTCCCCTTTGCAACATAATTTTTTTACATTCTGCAAATGACTAAAGGCTAAATTAACTTAACTAAATTAAATTAAAAACTTATTGTAAATTTTCAATAAATTTCGTTGCATAAAATGAGATTTTAGATAAATTTTATTATATTTACAGGAGTATCGAGGGAAGTTAAAGTAATAAATCTAAGAAAAAGTTCACTTCCCGAAGCTATAGCCGTTACAGGACGATTGGTTAATCTCATCGCATCCACAGCATATTGGAGGCAGTACTGTAATTCTTGTACTGTTTCTGCTGCAATTTAAATGCAATTTTCAAATTAGATGTGTAATTAAATAATAGACAATTTAAGTTAATAATACTTACATTTTGATTTTTCTAAAACTTTTAAAAGTGTGCTAATAGCAGCCATACCATCTGATATATCCTTTTCATATCCTATTTCATAGCCTATTCTAATCGTTTTATTAAAATAACTACAAATTTCTATAAAAAATGCAATAAAAATTAAATAGGTTTAATAATGTATCCATAAGTATAACAATTACGAATAATGTACGTAAGAAGTTAAAGGGATTTTACCGTTCTTTTCCATTATTATTGTGAATTATTGAACCAATTTATAAAGTAAATATATTTTTTTTAGTCTTTAATATTTTTTGTACTGTTTTCACAACATCGTCGAGGTTAAGCATTAACTTATGTCCAATAGAATTAAAAGTAAAATTTTCAAAGGCTAAATTTGCAAAACCAGCAACCACACGGCAGATTCCAACCAATCAGAATTTGAAACGAATTTAAAAGGGAAAGTAATTTTGTTCGTCTCGATAAGTTTTTCATCCAATGGCTTAAGCAGATGATAAAGCTGCAACGCAACCTTAATCGCAGGTCAACAAAACCCAGCTGATGGCTCGGTATGTCTGTGCGTTTGGAATTTACTGCAAGGGAAAAACAATGGTTTGCTTCGATATTTGACAATGATAATTACGCCTGTGATTCAAAAAGCGGTATTATTTATCTTTATAAATATATATGAGCCACCGCTTAATTTCTTCAGTTCAGTACCTATTAAACTAATGTAGCAGTATGAAAATCCAATTTTTACCCTTAATATTAATTTGTTTTACAATTAATAGTATTGAGGTATCAGGTTAGTTATGAAAGATTTATTGTTGAATTAATTACAGCTCAAATAACTAAACAGTAATATTTCTTTGATAGTGGCTCTTCATAGAAATCTTCGATATTATGAAATACTCCATGCCTCCAATTTCGAACATAGAGTAGTGAAACGTGGCGCACAGTACAGTTATCATCCTTATAATAAAATAAGTGAATTGGATTTTTATACTCATGGAAAGTAAGTATGATTAATGAATAATTCAACTGATTCAGCATGAATAGCGTAACAAGACAATACGAATTTCTCTAGTTAATCAGTTACTGTTAAAAAACAATTTTCATTTTAGACATTTTCGATTAATTTTAACTCCAAGAAAGGAGGTTATTCATTCTAAATTTAAAGCTTACGAAGTAGATGGCGATGGACAGAGAAAGTCTGTGCATTTAGGTAATCAGAATTGTATAATTAATAATTAATTCACACGTAATAAGAATTTTACAATGACCCATCTAATCATTGTAACGTATGATAATAATTGTAATGATCCCATAGATCACGAGAGTTTCTATCATGGCAGAGTATTTGGTGAAGTAAATTCGCATGCGCAATTACACATAGATAATGGTATCTTAACAGGAAGTATTACTGTATCGGATGAGATCTACCATATTGAGGTAACGCTTCAAATTTACTAAAACTAAACAAAAGCCAATTAAAAGTGTAAATTCATCCATTTGATATTACTTTATTTATTCTGCACTTATTTTAAAGTTATTTCATAATTTAACGCTAAACCTATTCTGTGTAAGAAATTTTTAAATTAAGCAAGTATTTTTGAGTATTTAATCTCTGTTCTTTATTTACATTTTGTAAATGGAATATGAAATAAAATGCTTCTTGAATTATAGCGAATGCTTCTATATTTTCTGCGATGCAACAATAATTGCAAACAAATATCATACCTATTTTAGCCGTCGTGGAGGCATCTTCCTACTTCGGATAATAAAACAATGATTATATACAAAGTATCCGATGTAAAATTAAGTTGGGAACATTATCAGAATGGAGAGGGTCATACGCACGGGGCTCCGAAAACCTGTGGTTACATAAAAGAAGGAAAGGAATCGCATGATGAAGAAATTTTAAGTGAGAGTGATTTGCAGAAAATTGAGAAAAAAAACTGTAACAGAACGAAAAGACAGACTGAAACTTACGAGTATACTCCAACAAAAACAAGGTGTCCATTACTTTTAGTTGCTGATTATAGGTTTTATCAAGAGATGGGTGCCAGTAGTACGAAAACGACAATTAATTATTTGGTAATTTTTCACAACATTCTCATATATAATAATGCTATATATGATGCTTTTCAATGGTAATAAAATTATTTACACCTCGACAATTTATAGATAAGTTTAATCGATCGTGTTCATAAGATTTATAACGATACTTTGTGGCAAGATCACAAAGAGCAAGATGGTTTTAAAGGAATGGGATTTGTTATCAAGAAAATAGTGGTTCATAGTGAACCGACACGCGTTAGAGGCGGTGACACGCATTACAATATGGTCAGAGAAAAGTGGGACGTTCGCACATTACTTGAAGTAAATGAAAATATAATGTAAAATTATTGTTTGTATTTCGATAGAATATAAGTTAATGCCGATTTGGTTTTAAGGTTTTTAGCAGGGAGTACAGTCACAAAGATTTTTGCCTCGCACACTTATTTACAGATTTGAAATTCGAAGGTGGTATCTTGGGTCTTGCGTACGTTGGATCACCCCGTCGAAATTCCGTGGGGGGAATTTGTACTCCAGGTTAGTATTACACCGGCAACAGTCATGCCAAAGTCCTCCTGCGTCTATGCTTAACGAAATAAAATACATCTCATTCGATGCAGAATACTTCAAAAATGGCTACACGCTTTATCTCAACTCTGGCTTGAGCTCGAGCAGAAATCATTATGGGCAAAGAGTAATAACTCGCGAGGCCGACTTGGTTACGGCACACGAATTTGGCCATAATTGGGGATCCGAGCACGATCCCGATGTTACGGTAAATAACTTACATACAACAGCTACAATGAATATTCGCTCTTATACACTGTTTACGGATATAAAATGTGCTCTGCCGATTTTACACGTAGGAATGCAGTCCCAGCGCCAGTCAAGGAGGCTCGTACCTAATGTACACCTACAGCGTCAGTGGCTACGATGTCAATAATAAGGTATGAACGCAATAAGCGACGGCTAATTTCAGGTTGAAATCAAAGCGAATGAATTCAGCGTCAGCCATTCTAATCCACACCCGTCTCTCTATAATTCCGTGATTTAGCGCTTTTCCCCGTGCAGTCTACGCGCGATTCGCAACGTATTGCAGGCGAAATCGGGACGGTGCTTCTCGGAGCCCGAGGAGTCATTCTGCGGCAATTTGCGGGTGGAGGGTGACGAGGAGTGCGACGCCGGTCTCCTTGGCACCGAGGACAACGATGCCTGCTGCGACAAAAACTGCAAACTGAGGCGCAACCAGGGCGCCGTCTGCAGCGATAAGAATTCGCCCTGTTGCCAGAATTGTGCTTTCATGGGCCCGGGTGTTAAGTGCCGAGACGCCCAGTACGCGACCTGCGAGCAGGAGTCGCGCTGTACGGGTGCCTCCAGCGAGTGCCCGCGCTCGCCCCCGATGAAGGACGGCACCAGCTGCCTCGAACGGGGACAGTGTCACCAGGGCAAATGCGTACCTTACTGCGAGACCCAGGGACTGACCAGTTGCATGTGCGACACAAGTACGTGGACTCGCGAGTCGCGCTCACCACCTCGCCATCCTTCCCACGCCTCTTCCACTAATTTGCAAATTTCTTTCAGCGAGTGACGCTTGCAAGCGATGCTGTCGCATGGGCTTGAACGACACGTGCTTCCCCATTGACCCGCAGGATATATTACCCGACGGCACGCCTTGTATACAGGGCTTTTGTAACAAAGGCACCTGCGAGAAAACCATACAGGACGTGGTCGAGAGGTTCTGGGACATCATCGAGGATATTAATATAAATAAGGTGATGCGCTTCCTTAAAGATAATATTGTCGGCGCCGTCATTATTATAACTGCCTTCGTCTGGATTCCAACGAGCTGCGTGATAAGTTACGTCGACAAGAGGCGCGTTAAGGCCAGCGATAAGAAATACCGGTGGAAGAATACCGATCAGCTCATACATCCTGAGGAACAGAGGCGCGTCATCTACATTGGCACGCCTCGTCAAAGATTGCAGATCGTGGCAAAGCAATCGTAAAGTCGCAACGCCCGCGATATTCACGTAGCTCCTAACAAACTGGACTAATTCAAATTAACTTGATTAACGAATCCCGTTAAGGGTGAAAGAGAGAGAGAGAGAGAGAGAGAGAGAGAGAGAAAGAGAGAGAGAGAGCGCGCGTGTGTGTGTGCGCCGAGACGGCTAAGCTGCTTAATTCCGGCGAATAGTTAAGTTTTCCCCTTAACGATACAAAAAAAAAAAAAAATACTTGCGAAGTATTTTATATATAAGCAGCCAATTTTGATAAAGTGATATCGTATTGTATAAATGTCTTTCATTATTGTTTTCAGCTAGAAATAACCATTTTAATACCTTGCATTGAAAATAAGTTACCAAACAACAAGCACAATGAATTATTACAATTTATTATCGCTACGTAATACTATACGTTCATTTAACAATTGCGTTTGGCTTATCGTGACATAAATTACTTTTGCTATAATTATTTATATCCTGTTTGTTAAGTTATATCAGTTATTTTATATACAAAATATTTATATTTTCAATTTTGTACTATATTTTTATTTTATAAAAATTATAAATACTCGTTGTATTATGTAGAAAAGAAAAAGGAGAGAAAGAGAAAAAAGCAATTCATCCCAGTGAAAGCATTAAGGCAATGAGGTTATCATAAAATATTTATTGTTAATCGTTAATTTCATTAATTTTCTATCTCATAGTTATTTAATTTTAGCAAGGTAACGCATATATTATTAAAAATCTTACTTAACATTCGGAGATTATTACTTTAATAAACAGTATTTATTAAGTCATGTAGTAAATAACAGTGCTTTTATTAAATATCATTAAAAATGTATATACAATCATATTTCATAAGCCAATTGTACGATAATAAGACAAAATATCAATAATTTTAACGAATGATTCGTAGCAAAAGATGTAATAAATAATTTCTGATAATAAATTTTTTGAAACCTTTACTTAATTATTTGTATTGTCAATCCATGGAGTTGCAGGGTAGAAACCGGTGGTAGTAAGAAATTAGATTTTGGAAAAAGCAATTCAAGCGTTTGTCTCAATTTATCGTCATTCATTGTAAAATCTCCTTGCGGATTTTCCAGTAGCACCGTGATCTTCTTCTCTTTGTTTTGCACGTTTATAAAACGACAAGCCGGTTCTTTACTAACGGATTTCGCCACATTCGGCAATGTTTCTCCAGTTTTTATTACACGCAATAGCGATTCACTCAACGCTATGATGTTACTTTTATCATCGATCATTCGCTCGTTACAATATAAATCATAATGGCATCCGTAAATACCAAATATTCTCGATACCTCGGCTCTGAGATCGGCATAAGCTATAGGCTTATTATCAATATTCTCTAATAAAATTGTGGCTAAGCGACTAGTAGCTCCAAATCTAGGTTGAAAACCAACCAGCTCAACGTTAACATATTTAGCGAAAGTGTCAATTTTCGTCTCCTTAATCGAAGTCTCGGATTTCGCATCAAAGTTCTCACACACCAATGTCAGATGGAGATCTACGCCTTTGATATTTAACGTTTCTTCGATTATCGTCTTTGCACCCACGGGCTTTTCGGTTATATTCCTCTGGGGAGTTTTGGTGGTACTCTCGATAAAGTCCTTGTGCGTGACAATAATATTGGCAATGTTGCTGTCTCTCTCCTTCACCTCGTAATAAAGCGTAACCTCGTCCATGGGCTGAAGTTTCGCCTTCTTCCTCAACTTCTGCACGCGATTAATAATTTCCCTAGCCAGGCCTTCGTTCAGCAGAGCCTCGTCCGACGTGACGTCAAGTAGAATGAGAACATCGCCGTCGCTGTGGGACTCGTAGCGCTTCGAGAGCTCCTGAGCCGTGGGCCCGCTGAAATTGTACATCAGCCGAAGATCGCTGCCTTCGAGTTTGTGGCCCAGAACCTCGATCTCTCGTTTCTCGACAAATAACTGTAGCTGCTGGTCGTTCAACTCCTTGATGGCCGTCGTAACCGCCTTGAATTCGCCCTTTAATCTCGCACCGAGAGTTTTGTGCTCCGGCTCGGCTCTCAGGGTCACCCCGTACTTGGCTTTGTCGCTAGTTACGGTCAGCTCCTTCACATTCACTTCTTCCAGAATGTAGGCCTTGAGGCGAAGAATGTCCTCGAGTGTTTCGGAATCCTGATGGATAAGTACGAGCTCCGGCAACGGATACTTCATGGGTATGGTCATCCGATCTCTGATGACGCGAGCAAGCTCGATGACAGTCTGCATGCAAAGCACCGCGTGCTCGATCTTCTCGTCGACGAGCTCCTCGCAAGCATTGGGTATCATCTGATAATGAACGCTGCCGGCGTTATCGAGCGACGGCAAGTACTTGCGCAGTCTTTGGAACATGAACTCGGCAAGGAAGGGGGTAAACGGCGCGTTAATTCGGACCATCGTATAAAGCACACGGAACAGCGTGTTCAAGGCGTGATGGCAATCCTCCGCGCCGAACTCGCCTTTTATGCGTTTGCGGTTCATCCTTACGTACCAGTTGGTCAGGTTGTCAATGTACTTAATGAGACGAGGCACGACGGTGTAGAGATGGTAAGCATTCATCTCCTTATTCAAAAAGCACAGTTGCGTCTCCGTGAAGGATAATATCCATCTGTCCATCGTATTGCTGGATAATTGAAAATTCTCGTTCATATCCTTGTAAACAAAGCCTGTTTTTTCATCGTGCTCGTATCTCTCGATATTCTGGATTAAAAATCTAAAGGCATTATACCAGGGCAAAAATACGTCTTTGATAACGTCCCTTACTCCCTCCTCCTTGAATCGAAGATTTTCCGCTTTAACTACCGGCGAGTTTATCAAATAGAGCCTCAAGGCATCCGCGCCGTATTTCTCTATTACTTCCATTGGATCTGGATAATTCTTCTTGCGTTTGGACATCTTTTGACCGTCGGACGCGAGGACTAGTCCATTGGCTATGAGATTCTTAAAAGCTGGCTTACCGAACAAAGCTGTAGAAATGACTAGCAATGTGTAAAACCAGCCGCGGGTCTGATCAATTCCTTCGGCAATGAAGTTGGCTGGAAAACTCTCCTTGAATTCCTGGACTCTTTCGAACGGATAATGCTTTTGGGCGTACGGCATGGAACCGGATTCAAACCAGCAATCGAAAACTTCGGAGACACGGCTAAGAGGTGGATGACCGGGACGATTGGATGGGATCTTTAAGTCATCGATACTTTCGCGATGAAGATCTGTCACCTGTTGTTTAAAATAAAATTTACGTTAATTACATCTACCGGCACTCCTATCATTCATCATCAATGCCAATTTACTGCGATAATTGCAATAATGATAATTCATAATCACCTTTTTGCCGGTTAATTTCTCTAATTCGTCAATGCTGCCAACGCAAACGAATTCCTTTTTGTCTTCGGAAACCCAAATTGGAATTGGATTTCCCCAATATCGATTTCTGCTAACGGCCCAGTCTCGCGCCTCTCGCAGCCAATTACCAAAGCGCTTATCTTTTACGTAATTCGGCACCCAGTAAGTCTCTGCGTTGCTCTCCAAAAGCTCCTTTTTAATTGCTTCAACTCTGATAAACCAAGAAGGTACGGCTTTATATATTAATGGGGTATCCGAGCGCCAGCAGTAAGGATAACTGTGTTTGGTAGAGCCGCTGTAAGCTAATTTTTCTCTTTTTCGAAGATTTTGTATGATTTGTTTATCGGCATCTTTTACATATTGGCCAGCCAAATCCTCGACCGGCGACGTAAAACGTCCACAACTGTCAATGGGACAAATAATCTCTTGATCTTTAGTTATGATTCCCGCTTTTAAACAACAGCGGTAGTCATCTTCCCCGAAATATGGAGCTTGATGAACAATACCCGTACCAGAATCCGCGGTAACATATTCGTCGTTTAAAATTTTAAATGCTCCTAAAAAACAAAAATATAAATTGAATTATATATATATATATATATGTGCAATTTATAAAAATTAATTGCTATAATAATACAATATTATATGCAGTTATTATAAAATGCTAATATTTCACTTAGAATACCTTTTTCCTTCATGTATGAAAAATATGGAAATATTGGTTCGTACGACAATCCCATCAAATTAGAACCTTTTATTTTTTTCGTAATACTATATGAATCTTTTGACTTGTAGATAAGGCTTAGACTCGATTCCAACAAGATATATATTTTCCCCGTTTCGTTGTCGATAGCTTCGACGTATTCCAAATTAGGATTACAGCATAGAGCAAGATTACTCGGCAATGTCCACGGTGTCGTTGTCCATGCTAATGCATACTTATTAGGTTCATCCATCAACCGAAATAGCACAACAATAGATGGATCGACTACGTCTTTGTAGTTTTGACCCGACTCAAAATTTGATAAAGGTGTATTACAGCCAGTCGAATAAGGCATTACTTTAACACCTTGATAAACCAGACCTTTATTATACAACTGCTTAAAAACCCACCAAATTGATTCCATATACCATGGATATAATGTTTTATAATCGTTCTTAAAATCTATCCACCTGCCCAATCTGCCCACAACTTTTTCCCATTCATTGGCATATTTCATAACGATATTTCTACATTCTTTATTATAATTTGCTATACCCATTTTCATAACATCTTCGGGCCCCTTAATATTCAAAGCTTTGTCGATTTCGTATTCTACCGGCAGTCCGTGAGTATCCCAACCAAATCTTCGCTCCACGTGAAAGCCTCTTTGATGCGCATACCTACGGTCAATAATTTATTCATATAATTTTTGAATATATATTCACACTTACGATGAAATGTTTCATTAATTTTCAAATCCATTAATTTCACAATAAAATATTCGAGTCACGAATATGCTTATCTATTCCCTTGCAAAAATCCTATTACATAAATACATTTTTTATGTACAACAAATGTTATCAAAATACCTGGTTACGATGTCTTTAATGGTGCTCGCCAAAATGTGGCCATAATGAGGTAAGCCAGTGGCGAAAGGTGGCCCATCGTAAAACGAATAACGGGGCTTATTCTTCGATTGTTTCAAACAATTTTTGAAAACATCGATCGTTTGCCACAATTCTAAAATAACTTTTTCTTCCAAGGGAAAGTTAATCCAGTCGGGCAATTTATCACCCATTTTCTTCAAACTGCTCTACGGCAATTATCGCTCTTTCCAAAGGCACTCACTTACCGGCTGTACGCGCTATCCAAATTCCAATATATATTTTGCCAAGTTTGTGCTACTTACAACATCAAATCTTATCTTGAGTCAAATATTATTTCCGCAATAATACGAAATCTTTTACAGCCTATGAATCTTGAAAATTGCATTTGTGCAATTATGCCATACAATGTCATATAATTAACAAATATTTACATACTGAACATATATTTTAGACATTATGGAATAATAAGCACGTGGATTACCGTTTTACGTTTCGCATTATGTACATTTACATCGCACGTGGAATGTGGATTAAGATAGACTTCTCTTCTTATAAATCAAAATGTGTCTATTATAACGTAAAAAACTACTTGGTATTTTTTTTATTACATCGTGTAATATACTCACGTTTTTCAAATTTCAAACTGCTACTAGTTTCTGACTCACAAGCTTCATTATTATTCAAAATATGTTTAATTTTTACATTTTTCTTTTCTTCGATGTACAGATAAATCAGTCTTTTTAATACTCCGTCCTTTGTATACCTTTATATCAACCCTCTTCTATTAAAAGTAAAATTATTATTAATTATTTAATTGGAAAATTCGTAAATCATATAATTGAAATATAATTTGAATATTATCCCCTACAAAAATTTCATTATACCTTTTATTATGTGTAAAGTTATTAAATCCTATATAACTTTCTTATTTTTCTTATTTTAACAAATACTACATTTTAGTAATTTTCTTTTTCTATGATAGTATAATTATAAACTATATTTTTATCGTGTTAAGAAATTAATAAACGATTCAACAAATATTGCGATATTAATAAGTATTTTTATATTATAAAAATTATAAATTACATATTTAATGTGTATTAAAAAGATAAATCAACTGCTTCTTCATACTCGATAAAAGTATTTCATTACATTTTTACATTTTTAAATAATGTACTATAAGCGCAAATAGAACTTTTTCAAATAGATTATTTTTTCTCCATAACATAATAACGATAGAGCGAGAAACAATATAAATATAACGGCAGAGCCGTATTTTGACTTAGCCTACTCAAAGTAAAAATTTTGGTATACGCGTTGGATGATTTTTGAAAGATGTATTTAACGAATGTTAAAAGAAATTATTATAAGACATAAAAATATTCGAATATTAAGAATTATTAGTCATATTAATTATTTTCACTTGTAATAATCTTTTCTCGTAAAAATGTAAACAAAGAACGATTTGATTAAAAAAATTTTACTATCATTTTAATTAATATATTGCAATGAATTTTTTCGATGTTAGTGTTCGTAGATCTGCATACTTATTTCAGTTATATATGTACTTTTTACTAAAATTTAATAGATTTTTTTTAGTAATAGATATATTTAATGTAAATGGCACTATATATCTGTGAAAAGACAGAGCGTAGAGAAATATTTACACTAATTTGTAATTTTGTACAGAGCATGAATTGTATATAACTATGCAACAAAATAAACAAAACTGTTTTAATCGATAAAGTTTTGTTTATTATTTAAAACAAAATAAGGCTTAAACGTGTCTCCCTCATCGATTTCTAAAGAAAATTTTCATTTTATCTGAAAAATTAATATATTGCAGACAAATTTACATATCATCAAAATAATTATAAATAATTTTATAACTTGTAATCGTAGAAGAAAAATGAAATAGAAAGTAATAATTCGCTTTTTTATTAAAATCGTAATAATTTCTGGTAATAACCACAATAAATTATAAAGAAATCTTAAATAACGCAATTTATGTATTAAACAAAAAATTGTTGATCGTGATTTTTGTTTGGCGTTAATAAAATGAAATTTAATATACCAAATGTACTAACTTAAAACTTCAAATATTAATTTTTAAAATCTTATCAAATTATTAGAACATTGTAGGTGAAAATACGTAGAGATGTTTTACGTCTTCATTTTTAAATACTTAAATTGTCATTTATTAAGAATATCTATGCGTTTATTTCTGGTTACGTATTACTATTTAATAAGCATTGTTTTTATTGTAAAGTAATTAAATTAATTTATTTAAATAATTGTTATAATTATATAATGAAACGAATTTTTAAATTGATACGTAGCGATGTTCAATGCAGTTTAGAAATACCGAGAAAACTTCATAAAATTATATTAGATTCGATAGAAGTGCATAAGAAAATAATTGAGTTGAGTATAAAGTAAAAATAAAATATATAAATGAGAATCGATAATTTCAATGCAATCGTTTAAACACATGTTTTATTTATTTATGCGTGTGTTTTTATCATGTGTTTATTAATAGATATATTCGTATGTTGCAGATAGAATGATCTTATTCAATAAAGTTTTGAAAAAAGTTGATTTATTATCGTTGGAATAGTCTTACTAGTTCTGACTATTAGAAAAATTTATGTAAACAAAACGTTATGAAGTATATTTAACTTGATTTTTTTCTATTAAAGAATTAATATTCATTGTATTATATTTTTTTTAGAAATTCATTAAAATCAGTAATCCGATAAATATATTACAGATCAGTTTTATATGAATCGGAGTATTATTATATCATTTCTTTATTAGTTGTCGGCCCAGTGAAAAAATAAAAAATACAATAAGCAACCATTCAACTCCATTTTTGTATATTTACTTAAAAAATTCAAATCCATTTTAAAATTATTAATAAGCATGCGATATATATATATATATATATATATATATATATATATATATGTTTGTGTATTTAGTGTATGTATAAGTATCTATTATTTTATTTATTTAATATTGAAAAGATGAAATTATGTTATTATTCAAATTTCATGAAAAATTGAACTTTTTGTGATTGTCTTATTTATTTGAAATATCTATTTAAGTCTGTTCTGTGTAAGTCTGTTCATAAAAAAGAATACATTATTTTTTGTTATCACAATATTTAAATAAATATGTATATATATATATATATATATATATATATATTTAGAAATTTTTTAGAAAATCTATAAACCAATTTAAATAAAACTTAGTAGATATTGCATAGATATTAAATATTATATATATATATATATATATATATATATATATAGATTTATCGTAACACATAGACACGGATACAATATTTTAAATCAAAGAGAAGATTATAAAGGAACAGTGAATAACGAAAATTGAACACTATATTAAAATTTAAAATTTTTTTAGAATGAAAGAATTTTATTTAGAATCAAACTTGAATGACATCTATTTTTTTATTTTTGATTTGATAAATAAATATTTTAAGTGAGTTAGATTAAATTCCATTAATATATTGTTGTAACTATTAATATTTATTTGATAAAGAATGTGATTCAAATTTTAAATAGACTTCATTAAATTAATTTCAAATCGTAAAATAAATAACTTTGTTTAAAATATTTATATTAATTTTAATAAATTTATATTATACATATGTACACATACACATATGGACATAAACATAGAGATAGACGTAATAATTACTTTTATTTTATGTTTATACATTTATGTTCCTATAATGATTTAATTATTCGTACATAAAATATTGTAAATATTATTTTAATATATGATTTTAGAGCGATCTTAATGAATACAATTAAACAATTTAAAAATCATATTAATAATAAACAAAATATTATAATATATATGCGTTATAAATTTTATTAAAACGATCTATTGTATAAATGATAAATATGAACAATTATTTTATTAAAATAATTGTAGTAATTCAATCATATTGCTTACTGCTTATTTGAATTGAAATAGAAATTATAAAGTCTTCATCGACTAAGGCAAATTTCATGTATTATGTAAGCTACAATGACGACACATTACTTCTCAATTGTATATTTCGAAAGAAATTTTTCTTTCGTCCGGAGTATTGACTAAAATCTAGACACGTGTCACTCATCATCAAAGTAATTATACATAATTTAAGAAATACTAAAGGCATAAAGAAATGTAGAATAAGAGAAATAATTCATCTTCTATCAAGTTTGCGTTAGTTTTCTAGTTTCAATTATGGATTCAAGTAAAGTTTTCAGCGACCCATATTTTAAATTAATTAAAAAATTATTAATACATATTTTTCTTTGGCCTTATCAGAAAAAAATAGTAAAAGCATTTGGGCAAATATTTATAGTTTTTTTAGTTTATTCAATAATAATACCACAGGTATAATATAACATATATTTAACAAAAATTAATATTATAAGTATTACATTTTTAATAATAAAAAGTAATATTAAATTAAATAAAAGTAAAAATAAAGTACGTTCAAAATATACTAAATAGTTAATAATGAAAGTATACGTGAGACATTAAAATTAATAAATTTAACATAAAAAATTACAGTAATCTGATAATGTGTATGCAACATATTTTATATATTTAGCGTAATTCGAAATTCTATTTATATTTATTTTTCAAATTGTTTCATGAATGCATTCAAATTAACTAATGGATACATTCACATTATTATTTTAACAATATTTTAAATATAAATTCTTAACAATAAATTCTTGTTTTTTATTGTTTTAAATATTAAGTAAAAATATATGTATTAATTTATATAAATATAAATATTTCATATATATGAAAAAGTAAAATTTTCTTTATTTTCATTTTATTTATAATATGCTAATTATAGTATACTGTCTTTTAAAACTGTAAAATTATCATTTATATTATTTAAAAAAATTTATTAACGTGTTTAGTTATTCAATATTAATTATATTAAAATGCATGTAATACAATAAAAATCTTTTAAATACATGATAATTTATTAGAAAATAAATCTAAATGGAGTAAATTATTTAAAGAGATTTATAATATTCAAAAATATTTTATTAGTAGTTAATATTATCAAGTATTTTTATTTTATAATTGTATTTTTTATGATTAATTCTAATTTTTTTGTTGTTGTAATTGATATTAAATCCTTCATTATACTGTTACAGATGATTAGAGCAATTGAAGAATTGTATGAAATAAATATGAACATGCAAATAATTATTGAAAATCTGTCTGGTTTTTTTTATTTCCATTTAATATTAACACAGTATTTCACATTTATTTTTTCCGAAAATAAGGTATAATTTCTTATTTTGTAGATACTCGATTTTCAATTTTATTTTTTACATTAGTTATGTTATGTTTTATGGTGCTTTGTGAATAAAGAAATTACGTATTACTTTTTGTCATCTTTCAAATAACCTTTTTAATGATAATATATTAATGAAAAGTTTGTATTAATTAAAAGTGAAAATTTTTTAAATAAATAACTAATATTATCTGATAATATAATATTGTATACGTTCATATGAATTATTTGACATTTATAGAAAGCTAAATGAAATATTCCTTGATGGAAGTTATTTATACAATTTTTCTATTATTTTGTAACTTGGATAATTTTTTTAATAAGAAGAATTAAAAAATTGTAGTAATACAATATATAAGAATTACTTTTGTTATGAAGTTGTAAAATTGAATATTTGTAAATATCACATTGTAAATTAATATTATTTAACGATGACAGAAAAAGATTAAATTATAAAAATTTTCGTATTCATCATATTGTTTATATTATATTATAATATATAATTGTCATAATAAGTGATATGTTCTAACTTTTCATTTATAGTAGATGCAATGAATAAAATATTTAAATAATTGTATTACCTCGATTATTAGGTATATTTTATATGGAATTAAATTAATTCTTAATTTAAATATGTATATATTTTTATTAAATACTAGCTGAAAAATATTTATATTCTAATTACTAAAAGTTTGGCAGAATTAAGCAATGTAGACGAAAAAAATATTTTAATTCATTATTGGAAGATAGGTCATCTATCAACTAGATTTTATATGGGTAAAAATTTATAATAAAATAATCTATTAGTATTAAAAAAATTATATATGATTAAGTAACTGAAGTTATACATTAAAACATTATAAAAACAGTTGTTATTTTATATATAAAAAATTATTATACTTAAAACCAATTATAAACATGTATATTGCTTTTAGATAATTAATTAGATATTTAATCATTTGCAAAATACAAAATTTAAAAGAAAAAGTTTAACATATATAATATGTATATATATAATGCATATAATGCAATAATTTATTTGTTCATTGATTATATCCGTGAATATGGTTTTAATCAATACTAATATAAATATGAAATATTATTAAAATATGCTAATATGATTTTAATTTTGACATGTCTTAATTAAAAGTAATATAAAAACATAATATTAATAAGTAAATAACGTATGAAATTAATGTATTACAAATCAATTTTTTTAGTCAAAACTGCCGTACTAGTTGAATAATTTTAGTAATGATTTTATCAATAAATAATACATATTAAAAGTCGTTAATAAAATGAACAATTTATGTTTAAATTAGATTTTAAAACGTAGAAATACATATATATAAACAAGTATTAGTTTTTGGTTTTTACATAACAATTACAATGATTTTATATAATTATACTTAATTACAATATAATTACATATAATTAATTATAATCATTTAATCGATTGTATTTTTGTATTTTTATAGTGTATGTGCTTATAGTTTTTATAATTTTTGTGATGATGCCAGTGGCGATGCCAAGTTTGTTTAATCATTTTTTGGACAATAATGAAACCTATCGAAAATCTCTTTGTTATTATGCTGAATTTTTTATTGATGAAGATGAATACTTTAATTATCTCTTTGTGCATTCATTTGTTTGTATTTATGTTACTGTTATAATTAATATTACGGTCGACACGATTTTTATCAAGAGCATATATCATGCAGTTGGACTTTTTAATATTATCGAGTAGGAATTTTTATACAATAAGATATATAAATTAATACTTAATAATTTAAATTAAAAAAATAGAAAATTAAATTATCCTCTATTGATTAATTATTTTGGTATATTTTATTCAAATTTTGAATTGGGTATTTATTGTAATATGAAATAATGTTAGTCATCTTCGATAGTTCTGATAAGAATTTTTAGTTTAATACTCAATTTTTCTCCAATCCAATAATTTATTAATGTTAAAAAATTAATTTTCATATTAATTTGTATCATTTAATTGTTCAAGCTTTCGTTTAAAATGTGTATTTGATATTGTAAATGATTATCTGCAATATAAATCGAAAAATAAAAATCGGCTAGTACATAAGCACGTATTGGATTCGATTCAATTACATAATAAAACTATTGAGTTAAGTATAGGTTATATGATAAAACGATTTATATATAACTTTGTGATATTTAGTAAATATAAATAAATAATAAGTACATTTATATAAATGTATATATTTTGTAGATTTACTAATCATGTTCAATCGACTTTTTCTCAATGCTTATTTATCAACACTGGAATAGTACTTCTACTTTTATCTATTGGAACTCTTGATGTAAATAGTATTATAATTTAATTATGATAACTTTTTTTTTAGTTACTGAATATTATACTCATTTTTTTTTACAGATAATAATGAATTTTAATAATCATATGAATGCTCTTCGAATAGGCTTTGTATGGATTGCAGTTGTACTATATCTATTTAAAATTAGCTGGGCGGGCCAAATGATAGTAGATATTAATTGTAAAATCCTAAAATCAATGTAAATATAAAATAATAAATTACTTAAAATAGCTATTTAAAATCACATTTAACGTATCATAAATTGTAACTAAATATATTTCAACTTTTCGTATAATTTTTTGAATGTATTGAATGTCTAGTACATTGAATATGAATGTCTATACTTACAATATGGAGTAATACAACTATAATTTATGTGTTTGATTTCAGCTATTTTTGTGGTTGGTATAATCTTCCTCCTGAAACGCAGTACCTGATGAAATTTATGATGATGCGTTGTAATATTCCTTTCGAATTGAAGGCTGGTCCATTGTTAAATTTAAACGTTGAATCATTCGCTAATGTAGGTTACAATTGTTTGTATTATAATAATCAAATAATTTAATCATACAAAAAATCAATTTATTTCAGGTTTTGAAGATGTCATTATCATATTTCACGGTTCTGTTATCCGTGAGTCAATAAATTTAAACTAAATAATAATCTAAAAAATAAAGATTTATTTTCATTAATATTGGACTTAGTAAAGTATCATATACAATTTTTACAATTTTTACTATTTATATAGCATATTATTGAGAAGATTACATTTTTATGAAAAAAGTTTTTTAAAATATCAAATAAAAAATTCAATAAGAATTTCAATGTAATTCAATTATACTATAAATATATTTTAAAAATATATATTTTTTTTTTCGAGTTAAGGACAAGCTTATAATTATTAATTACAGTGATAATTTGTGATGTATTCAATTTTTAAGAATAGAAACTTATTTTATATATTTTCTTCATTCATTAATAATTTTATAAAATTCTCTAAGTTTGTTGAAAAAAAAAAAAAAAATAAATAATAAAATAAATAAATAAACAAAAAATTATTGTAGATTAATATTCAGTTTATTATTGATAATATTTATTATGAAATTTATAACAACATTTATGGATTCATATATAATTAATGACAAAATTATTTTATTCACATAATAATTATTGTAATATTTTAACCATAAATATTTTTTAATGAATTTTGTTGTAATTAATTAATAATTAAATTAATATTATATATTAATGAATTGTATAAATCTTAATTTAAATTAATAAAATATTCGAGCTAAAGTTTATACTTCAAAATACTTTTATTTTTTAAATCTTTTTAAATGACTATTTTACAAAAATTATTTTATTTTTTATTATTAGATATTATCACTTCTTTTTGTATTTATATTACATATTATGTGTTATGTCTCAATTTTTATGAATTCTGACGTACATCGAAAATTATTAAGTTGCATACACATGTACACAGAGAGAGAGAGAGAGAGAGAGAGAGAGAGAGAGAGAGAGAGCGAAGAAAAAGATTATAAAAAATTATTTTTCATATAGAAGTCTAGTAGAATGAGACATATAAAATGCTAGGAAAGTACAGATAATATTTTGGTAACAGTATGAATGTGAAAGTAAAAATAACAAAGAAAAATTCTTAATGTAAAGTAATCAAATAATAATCTGCAGGTTGTGGCAATTTATACAGTTCATGTGTGTGAAATTTACATATTTCCTTATGCATATATGCTCAAAGAAATTTTATAATCTATAATCAGTTCCAAAAATAGTTTTCGTTGCTTAATATGTGGATTTCGTTTAGTATACCAATAATGTTTTTACATAAAATAAATTTTTTTATTTTTATTATCGAATGCCATGTTTTTTATAACATAATTTTCAAATACATATTAAACACAACACACATTTAAAATACATTTTTTATTTAATGAAATAAATTTCATATTCAATATAATTTTAGATAAGGTATTGAATAAATTTCTGTATGGGTAACAATTTTTTTTAAACCATAAGTATAATTAGTTGAAACTTTATAATTTTTATTTTGTAAAGTATATTCAGTTTAAAAATAATATTAATGAAATTTATTTCAATATTTGACAGACTTATACCGATTGGAAATTTTGTTTTCTGTGAATATTTACATGCGATTACGAAATTCATAAAATATTTACAAAAAAATATTTCATATATCATCAATAAATTACTATACATATGTATATATAATATTCACATTGATAAAAGTAAAAGTGAAGTTGTTTTTACTCATAAGTAAAAATAAATTTCAATTGTATATAATACGCAATAATTACATGTTATTCGTATATTTTTTCAATATTTAGTATTTCATAGATAAATACAAATCATGTATATTTGTAAAGATTTACAATAATAATGAGATACTTATGTTTGATGATTTTGACATATTACATATTGATTTCTGTAAATTTATATAATAAAATTAGACAAGTTTTACTTGTTATTCGTTCACAATTATATGTTAAAATTTATTAAAAATCAATACAAACATATTTATACACATATCATATGTTTATTATCAAGTTGGGAAAAGTGTCTATTGATAAGATATATATATATATATATATATATATATATATTTATATACTTAATAAAAAATAGAGAAAATCGTTCCTTAAATTTTATATTTAAATATCAATATTTCATCTATATAAATTAATATAAATTAAAATTACATAATGAATAAAATTAGGTAATTAGAGTAAAATAAGGATATACATGATTTGTATATATTTGTTAAATGTAGAAACAATGAATATATTCACTATAAGATAAATACTTATCTAACGGATATTAATTGTGGATTACAAATTGAGCTAGTTAAATACTATAAAAGTAATTTAAATTGTTTAGAATTTGAGTTCATTATTTTTATTGTAATTCTTTACATACTAAGCTGAATTAATCTTTAATGACTATCTGTGATTAAAATTATTCTAATAAAAGATCGAACTCAAAATTCGTAAATTCGTAATTCGTAAAAATAAATTCAAAATTTATATCAGCTATTAGTTATAAAATATGATTTACTTCCACTGATAAATTCAATTTGATGTACTAAACACTGTGTTATATATTCTATATTAATTATTATACTCCAGTGATCAATAAATCAATATTGATATTTTTAACGTGAAAAATAGTTTTTCTAAATATGTTTATATTTAATATATATACATGAATTCTATTAAAAATATCCTTAAATTGTTTATTTAATATTATTAAACAAATTCTTTACTTCATTAATAAAATTAATTTACTCTTAATTAGGATTTTGACTCTTAGAATTAATATGATCTTATTTTGCAGTAATTAACTTAATAATTACATTGAATACCAATTTTAAAAGAAAATCTTTATTCCTTTATCTTTATATATATATATATATATATATATATATATATTATTCTTAAAAATGTAATAAATTCTTTTTTTATGAGAAAGAGAAGATGGTCGTTTTTTCATAATTGAAAAAAATGTTTTGAACGAAATTTCACATTTTAAGAATAATATATCGTTCGATTTAATGAAGAGTTTTTGTCATAAAAGATTTTTAATTTATTTGTTAGAATTATATTGAATCTGTATAACCATGATAATATCATAAATAATTATAAAATATGATTGTTAAAAGTTAAATATTTAACTTTTAGGAATGCTTGAAAATTTGAAAGGTTCATTCATTATTTAAAAAGATAAATTAAATTTATAAGTTACATTGTATAATAAATTTAATTTCAACGAAACCAAATCTATATAATTAATGATAAAATTCATTAATGATTAAAATATAGAACAATACAAAGATTCTTGCTTAAATAATGTCAGGATTGTTTGTCATTAATGTTTTTGTAAAGAATTGCCAAGTTGAGTGAAAGGCGAAGTATTAATAATCAAAGATTCCTTTACGTAACTGTTTATTGTATTAATTTTTATTTTTTTTCAGAGCTCAACAATTTATATGTGTCTCCCAGTATGTTTCGATAAGCTTTAAATAAAATAAGTCAGTGTCATGGTTCCAAATTTGCAATTTCTTGATCATTAAACAAGACATTTTTTTATTTATGTATTAATATATTTCCCGTTTATTAGATATAATGACTTAATTTTTGGGAAATGTTTTTTTTTTTTGGCAATGGAGCAGAAAAATATTTAAATACGTAGAATATTTGAATATAATGTCAATGAAGGATAAAATTATATATTACACATTTTAACATGAAGTTATAATTGCTAAAATGGGAGACATTTACCTTATCTTAATTTCAATCCATTTTCACTGCCGTATAATTGATTGAAAAATATAGAATATTGAAAACACGGTTACAGATCAATAATAACTACTTTTCTTACAATTGAAAATACTTTCATTTTTATATTTCTATAGTTTTGGAATCTAATAAATTTTAATAAAAATTTCCGAGTAAATTAATTAAGTAATCCTAAGTTGTGTCAACTTATTTGGTCAAGGTAAGGTCAGCTACGCGGACCCTGAAAAGCTCGATTGCAATTACTGAATTGAAAGAGGCTGACGATCCCTGTAAGTCGCTCCATTTTTTGTGTGCATATATATATATATATATATATATAATCAGTTGCACGAGTAGCGGATAAAGTTGGTGCAATTCGCGAGCGTCAGCCTCTATTGGATTTGCATTCGAGCTAAAATGAGCTTTCGAATCTGCTAGGCACATCAAGTATATATAGACAGAAAAATGTACAGATGAGAATTGTTCGCCTAGTGTGTGGAGGCTCTGGCATGTATGTGCATTATTGGCCACAAAGTAGATATTAGCCGGAGCTTGAGATTCGAGGTGGATCATTGGCCTTAGTTTCAGGCCTGCTTGGGGTGGGTAACGGGTGGTGGTGGTTCCGACCGGAAGCAAGACAGTAAAAAGCCCGTGTACATGGCAAAGAGAATGGCTACAGCTATCAGCATGTACATGTAGATGTTGAGTTCTGGCTGCCGAAAACGGTTTTTGCGTAACCACTCCAGTACGTCATCTTCGTTTTTCATATCACCTGTTATAGGGGTTATATTAGTTGTCAAATTTTCATCTTCTTTCAAACTTATAAATTTTTATATTTTTTCTTATAATTAGTAAGAAAATTTACCTCTATATATACTGGGGAAACGTTTACGGAAGTAAACTATCGCAGGAAGTTTGGTGACACCCCATTTTCTCGCATATCGCGGATCTGCCATCTTAACAAATATAATGTCCAGATTATCCGTTTCGCTATCAATGTTTTCTAATTTTTCATTCACTTCACCGCTTTCTTTAGTACCATGCTCATCTGTAAATAAAAATATTTTCCTCTAAATATATATTGACACGGTAAAAATGTATGACACGATATTTTAGAAATAATTCATAATAAATGAATTGTTATGTGATTGTATTGCAATATCCTTACAAAAGAATACAGCTAAATATTCATTTTCATCGAGTAATTTATCCAGCATCTTTTTGTTAACTTCTTCTATTTCATTTTTGATTTCAAAGACATCTTGCGAGGTAAGCCAATGCAAAATTTTCTCTTCTTGTGTGAGATCGCCATCATAAATCAAAGGTGTCTTTTTCCGGAAGTAAACTAGCGATGGAACGTTAAGTATGCCATATTTTTCAGCGGCTTCAGGTGCTGACACTTTGACAAAATCAATTCCAAATAAATCAGCTTCTCCATCAATTTTTTCCAACGCTTCTAAAATCTCATCACACTCTGGACAATCTTCATCATCTGCAATTTTTTTTTTTTATAATTATCGTTTTTATAATTTCATACGCTTATACGATTTATTGAATTTCTTTAATTCATCATTCATCTAAATAATATAAATGAATATCTTTTCATATTATATTTTTAATTAAAATTTTTTATCTAAAGGAGTAGCGCTTACAGAAAAAGACAGCGAGAAAAGGCGATTCTTCCAAAAGTCTTTCTAACATTCTACAGTTAACGGCTTCAATTTCATCGGCTAATTCGCGATTATCATCGTCTATTAACCATTCAAGTACCGACTCTTCATTTTGTAAATCACCTGCATTATAAATTAATAATAATATAAGAACTAATTTTGTTATTTATTTATAGTAGATCTAAAGGAATTTTAGATATTACCTTCAAATAACAAAGGATTGCCATTTCTAAAGTAGACGAGAGCCGGAAAAGTTTTAATGGAATATCGTTTGGCTAATTGGGGATCTTGAATTTTAACCAAATGAATTCCAAAAACATCGCACTCATCGTCAATTTTTTCCAATCCTTCAAGAATCTCATCGCATATAAAGCAATTTTGTTTATCTATTGAATAATAATGTGCATGAAGAAATTTTACGATAATATTTAAGCGATAAAGTAAGATAATTAATTGACAATGTCCTTACAGAAATAAACAGCCAAATATTGCGTGTCTTCAACGAAGGACTCGAGCATAGTTCGAGTTATTAACTCGATGCGATCCTCTGTTTTTTGCGTAATTAACCATTGTAATACTTCTTCTTCCTCTGCAAGATTCCCTTCAAATACATTTGGTATTTGATGTTCGTAATAAACTAAAACGGGAAAATCCGTAACTCCATAATCTTCCGCCACTTTAAAATCCTTGAAATTTAAATAACAATAAATAAATTATTATATTTATTATCGTTAATGTCAGTTTGACGCTCAAAAGAATAAAATTCGAAAATTGCAAAACTTACTTGAGTTTTTACAAATGTGATTCCATGTCTATCGCAATCATCATCAATATTTTCTAATTCTTCAAGAATACTAGCGCAATGCTCGCAATCGTCACTATCTGTAGAATAACTTGTTCGTTAAATATTCGTCTACTTAGTATCAATAATCATTACAGTCTATTCTAAGGATAAAAGGGAATCAAAAATAATTCGTAATATAAAATAAATAAAAAATATTTGTGTAATTAATTATTTTCAAAAAATTCGCGTTTGTATTTGTGTAACTGTGCTTGTTTCTTTGGATTTTTCTAATATTTTTCTACGAATGATTTGTTCAAGCATATTTTTTGTTTTGTTTTAAAGATAATCCAATTATTGTTAGTATAAAAACAGCAAGATTTATTAACAGAAAAAATAAGCGATTTATTAAGCAAAGTCACTTTTGTGGCTTTTATAAGCAGTCGATTAATATACATATTATTTAAAACAATTAAGATAGTTATAAGATAACAGTAACCACACAATAAATTATTTTTATGACAAAAATTAGTTACAAGGAAGCAAAAAATGAAATTTTCTTTAATAATTAAGTACATTGTAATATAAGAAAAAAGTATATAAATTGATATAAAAGATTCAGATTCATTAATTAGCTAAGAGTCAAAAGGATTCAATTTTATGTTGACATTTGTACCATCAGCTGTTTCCTCATGTCCTTCCCCATCGTTGGTCTTGTGCTCCTGCTTATGACGTCTCTGCTTACGATATGTTTTTGATTGGCATATGTCGCAAAACGTTTTGTTCCCTACGACATTAGTAGACAGAGTTTTTCTGTTGAATAGCTATAGAGAATTATTTATAATTTTTCGGATTAAAGTAAAGAATTTCATAATATTTTTGTAATCGTAGGGCCTGCTGAAATCATATCCTTATGACATTGTACTGAAATCATACATTTATCCTCGTATTTACTTAAAAAAAAACTCTATTTACAGCATTTGTTATTGCTAATATTTGCTAGCGCAAAGCAGCTAATATAAATTCTATCATATACAAACTTATTTATTATCATAATACTAGAAACTTTATCTTTAAAAAGTTTATCTTTAAACAGTTAAAAGTTTAATAAAAACAAGTATAAGTTGCATATGTAAATGTAAAATTTATAATGTGCATATTATTACATAAAAAAAAAAGTAAACAATTAAAAAGCTGCTTTTGCTTGAAGATTTTGCCTCGTTTTAGTATGCAGCTTAAACATTGATTTGTCAAAAGAAAAATACATATTTCTTTTTAAGAAGTTAACTTATCACGCCACATCAAAATAATAAATTAAATGCATTTTTATAAACAGGCTGCGTTGTCCTTTAATTTAGCGTGCGGCTATATAAATGCGCACCAATAAGATTAAAAATGACATAAATAATAACATGACAGTATAGAAAATAATTATAAAAACTCAAAATAATAATGAATTAATATGTAGAATAGAGATAGATAAAGATACATTAAATAAAGATGGGAAAGGGAGAATAGAGAATTGCAGTAAGCTAGATATATATTCTAACTTGGCAATTCGCAACGGACCCGGAACTGTCATACTTACAGAAATAAACAGCCAGAGATTCTGATTCGCGAATTAAATTTAGTAATTCTTCGCCATCCAAAGCTTCTATCACTTCGCCGGATGGATCTTTTTGCGTCATTAGCCACTGCAAGATTTGTTGTTCGTCATAAAGATCACCTATAAGAATTTTTCGAACACATGATACGTTTTTACATTACGAGCAGACATTTAATTAGCAATGTGTCTATGTGTATTCCAATATACCTGCATAAATAACGGGTTCTTTTGAGCCTAATTTGAAAAAAAGAATTCCCGGTAATGCAAAAACTCCATATTCCTTGGCTAATTGTTTATCATCAATTTTCACGAAGTTTATTCCAGCAGCATCAGCTTCGTCGTCTATCAGCTCAATTTCACCCAACACACGGCTGCATTGTTTACAGTCGTTGCTGTCTAAAAATATCAATATATTTACAAAAGGAAAAATATTTTTCATAGCCATTCGAATTTAATCATTACGATTTATGAAGAATATGCATTAGTTTTATTCAACTTGAAATGATTATCTACTTTCTTAAAACTACTATTCATAATTTTTCATCGTTATTTTTTAAAATAAGGAGAAAATAATATCGCATACCATCGATATTTTATTTAGTGATATTTGATATTTCTCTGTAACATTGTTATCATCAATTTTTAACGTATAAGTATAGACAATATTTTAATCAAATAACTAAAAAAAAAAAAGAAAAGAAAAACAGAATTAAAGTAAGAAAAACATTTTTCTTGCTCTGATAAAAAAATGGAATATCCAATTTTACGTTGAATTACGTGAGTTAATATTATTTTAGTTTATAATTTAAGAAAAATAATTTATCGTAATATAATATTGACGTAATGTTGTATACTTACAGAAAAATACAGCAACATAATCAGAGTTCTGTCTAATTTTTTGAAACATCTTCTTATTAACTCTTTCAATGTGATCGTTAAGTTCCATATTTTCAGGATTTGTTAACCAATCGAGTATTTCCTCCTCATCATCGATATCACCATCGTAATTAATGTACTTGCCCTTACGGAAATACGTTATACCCGGTGGATCGCGGAATCCATACTTTTTGGCCATCAATCGATCGCTCATCTTTACGATTTTTATTCCATATTCGATTGCTTCGTCATCGATTAGTTCGATATGACGCAGAATTCGCGGACACTCTGGATCTTCTTCTTTATCTTTAGCGAGGCAACAATATCCCATAATATGTAAACATTGAAAATAATTTAAAAGAGGAAGTAATAGTTGTTTCCTCTTTTAATTCATATTTTAAACAATTGTATGTTTTTTATTGTATTTTGCGTGCATATGTGTGTATGTATGTATGCGCGCGTGTGTGTATACGCGCGCTTTTGTGTGTGTAATTGTAGATTTTTATTCTAATATATCGCTTATCGAGTCATTTTGCTAATAATTGTGTTATAAATATGAAACTTCTGAAAATGCCTACTTTAAATAGTAAAGCATATCCATCAATATGATAAATTCATATATATGTGCATCAGGTCAGTGATATGCAACCGCTTATTATATCCTTATCTACTTATTTTAAACTTTTTTTTTCATTTACAACAAATAAGAATTCGAAGAATGAATTAATAATTAAAAATGTTTCATTACTGAATTAGAAAGTTTTTTTTTTTTTAATATTAAATTATATTTAAGCAAGAGATTGCAAAGGAGTGAAAGTCGATTTAAAAAAATAGATGCACTTTGATTGTAATAGATGGTACCCTTACAAAAAATAACGGCGAGGAATTCCTTTGTTTCGATGTATTTGGCGAGAGTATCGCGATCAATCTCCTCGATACTTGCGTCATTTTTCTGCTTCACCATCCAGTCCAAAACTTCTGCCTCGTCGAGAAGATTACCTGAGATTAAGAAGATACCACGCATTATTTTTATTTAAAATTTTTACATTTTTTCTCTCTTTCGTTTTCCTTTGTTTTTCATTGTTTTTTTTTTTTTTTTTTTTTTTTTTTTTTTAAAAAAAACTTAACTCTTTCTGATGTTTGTAAAAAATCTTCTCTGTCATAATGTTAAAGTAGTTTACAATAATATTGACGATTTCGTTCTGAAATGGCTTTTCGATACGTAGTGCTGAAAATAATGATGGATTTTCTCATCACAGATTATCTTCTCTATAATGATGAATTTGAGTAATAAATAAAGTAATACTTTTAATGGAAAAAATAATTTAGGCATTTTTTTTTTTACTAGGAAAGATGTTTCTTTATTGCCGTATTATCGAACTTTCAGGTTACAGATTTCAGTCGACGTTCGTGGTAAATATGGCACGAGTGTACTTTGGCACTTTGTTTTGTATATAAATAAATATATCGTAGATCAAAAACTTTTTGTCGTTTATGAGTATTTCAGCTTTGCCTAAAGCTTCAAGAAGCGGCATATATAGTCGATTCTTACACTTTTAAGAAACACATTTTATTTTCATTATTTTTATTTTCATTATTATTATTATTATTATTATTATTATTATTATTATTATTATTATTTGTATTATTATAGTTATTATTATTATTATTATTATTATTATTATTATTATTATTATTATTATTATTATTATTATTATTAAATAAAAATGCTTAAATTACTCGCACAATATATGTAATAATATCATGTACAAATGAGATTCGATTTTCGGCAATTAAAGGCAACGCATTTCGCAAAATCGATTCCATTCATCCTCTCACTGCAGTAATAACGGCTTTTATAACAAAGATAAAATAATGTAAATAACATTGAATAAAATATGAATAGTGTCTCGCCGATTCACGGAAACAGCGATTAGACATAATTATACTTAAATAGCAACGAGTAATGAATTCATCGATCTCTTTCACTATGTAACTTGTATTTCTTGATTTTTTAAAAATGTGTTAATGACTTAATGAAATGAAAATAATAAGGATAGAACGCAAAAAGCAATTTAAGAAAAGATAATAGAGAGTTGAATTCAAAGTACTTTGTGAAAAATAAATATTAGTAAGTGAAAAGCAACGATCTGTTTTTGTGAATTTCAAAGAGAATTTCTCAATTTTTCATTTGATATTTATCATTGTTTATAAGAAACTTGTCCGAATCTATATTATGATTAACGCATATCTAATATCTACGATGGAATTCAGACGCAAACATAAAATGCAT